ATGTATATATGAGGTAGACAAAACTCCCCTCACTGTTACTGACAAGTGCAATTACCCCATTTTTTAATGAGCAACCCTCAATTTATCCTAGCCAAGTTTCACTCTGAATAATTTACAAAAGAATTATTGGTCAATATGGAGAACCTGGTAAATATCAGAAGTCAAAACATTGGTTATAGTAATCTAATTCGTGTGTACGATTGTCTTTCCATGATATAACCACAAATCAACTTGTATGATCCTGCTCAAAATGTTATTGGAGAACTATCTAAAAAGATATCAATTAAAAGCAATGGTGTAACAATCACCACAAAAATATAATGATTACCATTAAAATATAATGATTACCATAAAAATATAATGATTACCATTAAAATATAATGATTACCATAAAAATATAATGATTACCATTAAAATATAATGATTACCATAAAAATATAATGATTACCATTAAAATATAATGATTACCATTAAAATATAATGATTACCATAAAAATATAATGATTACCATTAAAATATAATGATTACCATAAAAATATAATGATTACCATTAAAATATAATGATTACCATTAAAATATAATGATTACCATAAAAATATAATGATTACCATTAAAATATAATGATTACCATTAAAATATAATGATTACCATTAAAATATAATGATTACCATTAAAATATAATGATTACCATTAAAATATAATGATTACCATTAAAATATGATTACTATTAAAATAAAATTACCATTAAACTATGATTACCTTTAAAAACTGACTACTATTTAACTACGATTACTTTGAAATATGTTTACCATTATACTATGATTACTGTTAAACTATGATTACCATCAATCCAGACCACTTAAATTTAGATTACTTAAAATAAATCTGTTATCTAAAGCTCACTTTTTACTTCACAGTTACTTGATGATGTGAACAGCCACCACCAATGCTTTAAAATAGATCTAGCTATCAAGTTATTTATATTGCATAACCTACGTTGCGTAAAACACTGAACTACGTAGTTTTGTCTACCATTTACACATCTATTTATAACACCAGTGATGTTATGTTGCTACAAGAAGGATGCCAAAACGTTCACATGCCAGGTATGTGGCTTTGGTTTCACAAGTTTCTATAGCATAATTCCAGAGATGTCTTTGCCACTCAGAATCCACCAAAATCAGATATAGTGTGGCGTCTTTTCTCATGATCGGGACTGTTTAGTGGACAATACATTGACAGACATGAGGTGCTAAAGAAATGACAGGAAACAGACAAGATTGACAGAGAGAGGGAAAAAGGAAGACAAAGCAATGAGAAGAAAAAAAAGGAAAGATATAAAGAAAACATTGAAAGAGGAAAATTGTCTTGAATACATGCCAATGTACAAGCATCAATGAAACAGCATAGAAAAAAAAACCCACTATCACATTATACAAAATCATAATTTTCTGAACAAATGAGACATTTTTTGACACAATATGCTGGTCAAAGTTCCAGGACCCACATTAAATCAATGTTTGTGACTTTAAGAACAATGCCAGTAACATTTCAGATGTCAGTTTTAGACACTTTCAAATGCCTTGTGATCTATCCTGATTTATCTGCTAATATTCGTAATACCTAATATTATATAATACATGAAATGATTGCATCATAACACTACCAGTCATCGTGAACTACTTTGATCACACCTGTTAAATTGTTTTAGAAACAATTTCATTTCTGTTATTACTTGGTGAAATGAACAGCACAACTCCAAAATGTTAAGTAAAAGACACTGATAACAATAAATAAAACCCTTAAGTTGGAATTCTTTTGGTGCTATTTTAACCTACCCAGCCATCAACTCATCAAACCTGAACACGATCCAAATACTAAATACACCCAAATAAGACCATATAATTTTTACAGACTAAGGGGAGATAATAAGATAACCATGCACAAAATAACATAAAAATAAATTACAAACAGTCACTAACCATGACTTATAAAGCCATCACAGTAGATTTAAAATTTGTAGATTTAAAATTTGTCATAAAAACAATTAACTCCCGGTAAAGCTCCTTACAATGCTTATAATTAGATGCGAGATAATCGATTGTTTCTACTGAATTCAACCTCTAAACACTATCAGCAATTTCTTAAAATTCAAATATTATCGCATCATATCTCAACTGAATGCCTCGACAGAAACATGTACAATTTCATACAGGACAGCAATGTGCTTTGTCAGCAGCAGATGAGCAAGAGAGTTTACCAGGTACTCCTGGAATTATTATAACATGATGCTGCTTTTGGATCAAAGTTTCATCATTCTGCCAGAATAATAACCTGTTGACATTAAACAGACATGCAATAGATATAAAACACTCAAAAGAAACAATCAAACACAGGTTATTTTCTATGTACCTATAAACATGCTTTCTTACGATTTTTATAAAGGCTTTTTAATCACAGCACTGGGGATTCTTGGTCTCGAATACTGTAGAGAAGGTGTCCAATGCTATTTTTACTTTTAATTATAAACAATTTCACATTTTTTCGATTTTTTACATTGTACATTTGAACATCTATGATATTCCCCTTACATCATACATTGCATTGATTTTATCCTAATAAAACGAGAAAAGATTAAACGGTTCCTGCTTTTATCCATCTTTTGAAGCTGTCAAACTTTGTGACGGAGCCGGGATCATTCTCCACAGTATTTATCACTACTCTGATGTTTCACTTCATTTCGTAATACATGTCTTTATTTGACCATTGAAATACAAACAAGATCAATACTGTTCCTACTAAGTGAAAGTGATGTGACCCTCGAAGAGCAATATTGTGCTTTGTAAGTTCTGAGACAGGATTCTCTGGTTTTGGGACAGTGGTATTGATTTATTAATTAACAGCTATCCTTTTTCATCTGACATGAGAAATCTACATTCATTTGGCTGAAAAACCTATTATTCAATCAATATATATGGTATCTCTTACTTATTTTGTTAAGGGAATTCCTTGACATATTCAAAAATAACTTGAGTAAAGGGAAATAACTCTGTCTGACATTTATATATGATACCAATATTGTTAAAAATCTGCTGACCTTAATTGTCTATTTATACAACAGAATTAGTAAACTATTAAAACGTTTTCTTTTTAATATATAATAGATATGATAGTTCCAAGCACCAGAAACTGGCGAATCTGACAGTCATGACAAAATAAGGTGTTTTATCTTTAATGTTGGTTTTTTGTAAAACATGGAATTTCTCATCTGATTTTAAGAAAAGAAACAAAGAAAACCCACTTATCAACATCGTACTTCATAACTAAATAGTTTAATCACATCATTGTATATTTGTGAATATGGTCAAATTTCAGTAGAAATTCAAGAGATTTTTCTGTTATTGCAGTAACTTAAATAAAGCATTTCAATAACTCCTTACTGACTAAACACACAAAGCACCCTAACACTACTGTGATGGTCTAACATGTATGAATTATTTCAGATCACTGGTTTACTAATTAGTAGTTAGGTATGTTTAGACATATTTGACAACCATTTTGGAAATGAGAAGGAAGTTAGTGACCGAATTACTGCAATTAACAGGAAAACAGATCTTCCTACAGTGGAGAAAGAAGGAGGACAACATGTTCGTTTATTTGTTTGTTTGCTAAATTCCTTGCCCTGTGAACAACCAGAGAGTCATTTTGAAGCAGGGAGTCTTGTAGTAGCTAGTGGCTACCTAACTAAGAGGCCCATAGCATAGCCTCATCACAGATTGGTCTGCTTCTTTGCTTCCTTGGAAACACAAACCGCCATGGGTAGTGAGCATTGAACGACACATCTCAAACCTTCTTCTGGGGTTATGCATGTCAGTACTCTGACAGTCTTATCAGGGCCCTTTCACAGGAAGTAAAATTTTAATACAAAACTACCTACATAGCAATTGTAAATTTTTCAAGTGACCAATTCCAATTATCATATGACAGGTACCATGATATAATCTGACTGTATTGACATGTACCTGGCTTAAATCTGACTATTGACAGGTTCAGGGTTTGAATCTGACTATTGACAGGTACAAGGTTTGAATCTGACTATTGACAGGTACAAGGTTTGAATCTGACTATTGACAGGTTCAGGGTTTGAATCTGACTATTGACAGGTTCAGGGTTTCAATCTGACTGTATTGACAGGTTCAGGGTTTCAATCTGACTGTATTGACAGGAACCTGGTTCAAATCTGACTGTATTGACAGGTTCAGGGTTTGAATCTGACTATTGACAGGTTCAGGGTTTCAATCTGACTGTATTGACAGGTTCAGGGTTTGAATCTGACTGTATTGACAGGTTCAGGGTTTCAATCTGACTGTATTGACAGGTACAAGGTTTGAATCTGACTATTGACAGGTTCAGGGTTTGAATCTGACTATTGACAGGTTCAGGGTTTCAATCTGACTGTATTGACAGGTTCAGGGTTTCAATCTGACTGTATTGACAGGAACCTGGTTCAAATCTGACTGTATTGACAGGTTCAGGGTTTGAATCTGACTATTGACAGGTTCAGGGTTTTAATCTGACTGTATTGACAGGTTCAGGGTTTGAATCTGACTGTATTGACAGGTTCAGGATTTTAATCTGACTGTATTGACAGTTTCAGGGTTTGAATCTGACTGTAGTGACAGGTTCAGGGTTTGAATCTGACTGTATTGACAGGTTCAGGGTTTGAATCTGACTGTATTGACAGGTTCAGGGTTTCAATCTGACTTTATTGACAGGTTCAGGGTTTGAATCTGACTGTATTGACAGGTTCAGGGTTTGAATCTGACTGTATTGACAGGTTCAGGGTTTCAATCTGACTGTATTGACAGGTTCAGGGTTTGAATCTGACTGTACTGACAGGTACAGGGTTTTAATCTGATTGTATCTACAGATACAGGTACCAGTTAAAATCTGGTTGTAACGATATTTATATCAAAGTTTCTACAACATGCAGTACCTACCTTGGGTTTCCCCGGAGTGCAGCATGGTGAAGAGAATTAAAGCCATTGTTATTGGCTATCGTCAGATCTGCATGATGTTCCAGCAGGATGGATATCATATCATCTCTCTTCTTACTGATAGCATCATGGAGTGGACTGTCACCCTCAGAGTCCTAACAGCCAAACACAAACACTTTTAGCTCATTCAAAACATCTCTTCAGAAACAAAACCTTGATATACTTTAAAAATTCAAGCAATACCGCAAAACAAAAGTTCAAATCTGAGTTTGCTAACAGTATTGGCATTAACAATGTAAGGGAGATAACTTTTGTCTACAGTAAAATTATCATGTATCCCATCAAATTTCAAATGGTTAAGAAATAATTCATATTATGTTCAGTTAATACCAGGCTTTTCATTATCTCAGGTTTCAAAATGAATGAAATATTTTGACAAATATCGGAATCTAAAATTCCTTGAAATGTACAAAAATCATATGGTTCATTGAAATGTACAAAAATCATATGGTTCAAACGTGGTTAAGAAATAATTTCCAACTAAATACAAAACAACATACAACAGATACATAGAGGATCCCAAACGAACGACAGTTGTTTATTGTATTTATCTAATTTAAGTTAGTTTGATTTCAAATTTAAGAGACAAAAGTTTTACCAATGGCTTTTTCTATATTTGAATATTAACATGTAAGAGTTTGATAGATATGATAAACAACCGTCACTAGTTTGGGAACTTATTTATCCCATAACTTTTCTACCTACAAATGTACTGAGCTCAGCTTCTCAGCATGGCCACTAAGCCCTATGAGCTTTATCACCTCATGGCAAAATTTAGTTCATATTTAAGAAATGATAATTATCTATTATAGATGAACGACTTATGTTTACCATCATATGAAGCATAATTTGGTATTTTATAATTAAGTATTTTGGTAAATCTAATAAATTCTTTATTAATATCATTCTGTTCTATATGTCCTAAGGATATTCACATCACACATGTAGGTTTGTGTCTAGTTGACGATCCTATGGTCATAAACTGTTTAGCCTTTGGTCATTATATGTCAAATTTACCTGGTTACCTGGATACTAAATATGTAATCCTTATTGAGTACTCCAATCTTATATCAGTATATCTAACATGTTGGCGTGGTACATGTAATTTCTTATATAATGTAACATTTATTTTCCTTGTCCATCTCTATAAAAGCTGGTAAGAAACTGTATTAAACAGTCGATCTCTAGGACATACATCCATACATCCACATACCAATAAACTTCTTAAACAGACAGTCCTGGTTATTTTTATTACCTTATTCTAGAATATTTGAAGTATGAGAATCATAGTCCTTGTGTGTTTTAGTATAAGAACAGTTCATGAAATCACTCGGCACAACGTCAAGATGCGAAACAAGAGGCCCATGGGCCTTAACGGTCATCTGACAAAAAGCAAGCCAAACCTAGAAAGTGGGTTGAGGTCATTCATTTGAACAAACTTGGTAGCCTCTCCTCCAAGCATCTTACAGGCCCAATATCAGCACTCATGGACTTTTGCTTGTTGAGATGAAGTCCTTTGTATATTTTAACATATTTGACCCCTGTGACCTTGAAAGTGGGTTGAGGTCATTCATTTGAATAAACTTGGTAGCCTTTCCTCCCTGCATGCTACAGACCCAATATCGGCACTCATAGACTTTTGCTTATTGAGATGAAGTCCTTTGTATATTTTAACATATTTGACCCCTGTGACCTTGAAAGTGGGCCAAGGTCATTCATTTGAACAAACTTTGTAGGGCTCCATGCCAGCATGCTATGGGCCAAGTATTAGCCCCCTAGGCCTTCTAGTATTTGAGAAGAAGTTATTTAAAGATTTTGACATATTTGACCCCTTACCTTGAAAGTTGTTCAAGGTCATTCATTTAAATAAACTTGGTAGCCTTTCCTCCCAGCATGCTACAGACCCAATATCAGCACTCATAGACTTTTGCTTATTGAGATGAAGTCCTTTGTATATTTTCATATATGACCCCTGGATTAAAGTGGGCACACAGGTCAGGTTTGTGTGTAGGGTTGCCAGCATGCTATGGGCCAATTATTAGCCCCCTAGGACTTCTTGTATTTGAGAAGAAGTTATTTTAAGATTTTGACATATTTGACCCCTGCGACCTTGAAAGTTGTTCAAGGTCATTCATGTAAACAAACTTATAGCCCTTCTCCAGCATGCTTATATCAGTATATCTAACATGTTGGTTGGTACATGTAATTTCTTATATAATGTAACATTTATTTTCCTTGTCCATCCTATTAAAGCTGGTAAGAAACTGTATTAAACAGTCGAACTTAGGACATACATCCATACATCCACATACCAATAAACTTGAGCCTTTTGGTTAAACAGAAGTTGGTTATTTTTATTACCTTACCTTCTAGAATATTTGAAGTATGAGAATCATAGTCCTTGTGTGTTTTATCATAAGAACAGTTCATGAAATCACTAGGCACAACGTCAAGATGCGAAAAAAAAAAACCACAAAAAAAATGACACCACCAGGTCAAAGGCCACACAGTCTAGACAGCTAATTGTCTTACTAATTACAATCAGATTTAATTAATTAATTTCCCTGATATGGTAGACATGTTGGTATTGTTAACGTTGATGTTAACATTTTCCCCAAAGATTTGTTTTTCAAAACAGAAAAAACACAGAAACTAAGCTAGTAACAGGCGGTGGTCACGTGTCAGAGGTTAGCCAATCAGAATTATTGGAAGTTAGAGAGGACCAATTGGAAACTTTGAGTTTACATACTACAGTAAACATTAAGACCATTATGGAGTTTATCATGTGGCATATCAGTTGTGAAACAGACATAGTTATGGGATAAAACAAAATTACATCTACTTCTAACATACACTATCTTTTAGAAACATAATAAACAGACTTCCTGTAATATTCTTAACAAACAGATCACAAGACCAAGGAAAACTTTATCTATATTAAAAGGTGAATGTTTTCCCTCTTGTTTTAGTATCAGACTTTAAACAAGAGTTTGGATTCCAGAAAAAAAACAATTGAACAGCTGGACGAGTTTAACAACAAGTAAATTAAAATATAAAAAGGTAAAAAACTACATTGTGATAGGGATTTTAAATGTTAAAGAATATAAGTGCCTGAATAATGATTAACAATGAGGAATCGGAGGGTAAGCATTCAAGTAGTCTTCCAACAAGGTGCCTACAACAGTCAGACATCCTAACACTAGTGACACACAAGTACAGACAACAGAACGGAGAGTGTGTCACATGTTCAAACCTGGAGACTGGGATGACAGCCAAGGTCCAGTAGAGTCTTCACAACACCAATATGGCCCTTGTTTACGCCAATATGTAGGGGTGTTTGACGACGTTTGTTTCTGGCGTTGAGGTCAGCGCCTCCCCTCTGTAACTGTTCAATCACGCTTGGCTCATCCCCAAAAGCAGCATGGTGCACGGCTCTATCGCCATCTTTGTCCTGCAGACAATAGAAAGGTTTAGAATGTTTTTTATTTATCATAAAATCATCCATGATGTACTCTTTATGTGGAATTTGGATATTCTGACAAGGGATAACGAATGTAAACAAAATGCAAGGCTTTACTACTGCTGAACCAAAGTGTAGAACATCCATTATGTGATGAATAATTTTATCCACATCTTTCCCAAACTTTTGATAAAATATGATATTGAAGATGCAAAGCAACACCAGAATAAGCACAAATCTAAATACCAAATAAATTTGGAAACAGCTGGTGAAGCCATATCAATAACATATAACAGCCCTTCTTCCAATCTTCACATGTACAAAATCACAAACGCTAAACTCAAGGGAAAAAAAGACCTTTAAGGAACATGCCATATTTATTGTGCAATATAAGTAATATAAATGGCCTAACTGTAAGCCAAGGTAACAGCCATCTAACACTTGTCTGCACTGCAATACTTGATTATGAGAGCCCATGCTTTATCTCACAACCTCCAATAATACATATTATCTAAAATTGTAACTGAACTGTTTACAAGTTCAATCATTAACAGTAGATAACTTCTATTTTTCACTCTTTCATTATTATTATTTTTTTTTTTGCCTTCCTTATGATCAGTTAAATACGGTTGTACTGTATCGAACAATGCATTAAAATAGAGCATCTGTGTTGACGATGTTCCAGTCCTTATCTTCAGAATCATTCATTCATCCTTGAAATAGTTAACTTCATAGGTGCTAGTCACTATTAAATTTTCTTGACGGTCAGTGACCTCCTGATCAGCAACTCATAATGACATAACTGTCATACAATTGTGGTAGTGTTTGTCACACAAGTATGTATATTTTTGATAATTCATATGCTAGAGTGTGTGCTTGTGAGTGTGTCATGCATTATGTATTTATACATAAAACCTATTTGTTGCTTTGTAAATATACATAATCATTGTAGTGTAATCCATTCTCTCAGTTCCCAGAGAAGAAAACCGACACTTGCGCCATGTCAACATTATTAATCAGAGTGCTCCCTATCTTGTTGATATAAGTGCATAAACCCTTATGCCTCCACAAGACCCTATAGATTTTTGCTTTCTGAATTAATTATTCTTACTGTGGTTTAATTCTCTATTAAAACAGATAAAACGACAATGTGTGGTAAAGCAGTCAGTGCCGATAGTTTTCAACAATGTTTTTCAATATAAACATTAATATTCTATCAATTGATAATTCAAACTCTGTCTATTCTCGTTTTACTTTAGTTTAAATCGTTTACCGCAACAATTTTGATATCACATAACAATTGCTAAATGTGGTCACTATGTACATCAACAAAACATTCTGAATTCCAAACGTAACGAATGATTATTGTACGAAACTGTTATCATCAATCAGACACCTAAGTGCCACTTTTTTCAAGTTCATCTGATGTTTCAGATGTTTAATCTCATTCGCTGCCATATCATGCAAGTGCTAGCTGACACACCTCAGGCCCCAACTATATATAACAACTGATCCGTATAGACCTGACATGGAATACTGACATGGATATTGTCAAAAAGCTATGGTGTCAAAGTATACAACTGATAATTAAATCCCAATGATTACATCAAATAGATATTTTTAGGTCTTAAATATTCTAGAATCATTGGAGTATCATGTTGATTTGTAGCCTAATTCTCAATCTCTCTCCCTGTTAAACCAGGGTTTAGATCAATGCTGATGGGACATGACTTAAGTGTTAGTACCTAGTTTCTATATGGGCACCATTGTAACAGGGGTCTTTATTTATTTCAATTCCACCGCCAGGATTAGAACCAGGAAGCCCTGGCTTACTAGTCTGATGCTCAACTGATTGAGCTAGAAATAATTTCTCTCTAGTTGGACGGTATGATGTAGCTAATTCAACTTGGTTTAACTGAGTCATACTTTTGGTGGATTTATTCTAGTTTAATTCATTCATAAACTGTTTTATTAACCAAAAATAATAGAAGATAAGAGTAGTAAAAAAAATAAAACTCATTTGCCTTATTGTCATCGATGTTGTTGAAAGGAAAACCCATATAAAAGATCTGTGTCTTAAAACTTTGATTTATAACTGGCATGTCTTTAAAATACTTACTAACCTCAAAACTATCAAGTTGACAAATCAACGTTCAACCCAAAATGAAATTGCCATGCAAAGCTTCAGCATCTTAGACTCACTGATAAGAGTTAAAAGCACTTTAATATTTTTCTTGTTGTTTAGTAAACTATAATCAAAATTTTGTAGAAATCTGAAAAGATCATTTTTCTCAATTTTACTTTGCAGAATATATGGCTAACTTCAAAAGAAATTTCATAAAGAACAATAAACAAAAAGACCACAGCATCCTTTGACCATTTCTGTCCAAGAAACAACTTAGTATAACCCTGACCATTTCGTCATCAGAATGTGGACGGACAGAAATGCCAAGGATAATAATGAAAAAGTTCTTCTATTCAAAAGAAGAGATGAGATAAAACTTAGTCATGATTACAAAATTGCTGTTCAACATGCTGCCATGACAAAAGGCTCTGAAACATGTAAATATTAGCCTACCTGCAGGACTTAGTCCATAATTGAACTAGAGGTAAAAACTTAGCCAATAAAAAGGTAAGGTACATAATGTCCACAGGCGACCATATTACATTACAAAGTTCTTAGGGTTTGTCAAGACTCAAATATAATGAATCAAAAAATGGCTTTTGATCATGATATCATAATGCGGAGTTGGATCTTCAGTGGTATTACAAATGTAAAGGCCTAGGAGTAGATATATGGTAGGAGAAACATAACACAGTACATCAGTCCTATAATTCTTAGCCTGATTACAATGTAAAGCTTTACCCTACAACAGGATAATGTACTGACGACAGGAAGCAAGAAGATTATTGATGGAAATAGGCTAATTAGTGGTCAAATTTCAATATCAAACATGCATAAATACTGACCCTTTTCTCTCAATGATTAAATTGCTGAAATCTGATATGGCTATTTATTAACACTGAAATCTTCAATATTCAGCCACCTAGTGCTATTCAACATCAAAATCTCACCTCTATTTCAAAGTCCACATCATGCTTCATCAGTACCCTTATGACATCAGAATGTCCATTTTGTGATGCTGCCTGGAGAGCAGTGTGTCCAGCAAACATTCCATTGGCCTGAATCAAGTGAAGGGTTATTAAAATGTTTGGTTAAAGGCATAATTGAAACTAAACATCATTACCGGTAATTTGGTTTTCCAACAGCCTGCTAGTCATAGGTTGAAAAGATTTCTAAGTCAATATACCTATTGAAAAATATGTTCTATTTTAAAGAAATCAAACCGTAAACCTGCGGCATAGAGTCGAAAAACAATATCATTACTTATTACTTTGAATCATTATCGATATTTTTAAGATTTTCAATCCTTTTCATTATTTGTTGTACAAGCAATAAAAAATATACAAACATCAGCCTCGGGTCTCTGTAGAAGTTCGTCCACTTTGGTCCCATCACCATTAGCTGCTGCCTTGACTAGTTCCTCATTCACATCTCCAGAAACATGTGTCTCAAACAACTTTTTCAAGAGAGCACTAAGGCGTTCTGCATCATAAAATAATACATGGAATCATTCTTTAAACATGTGAACTTTCATTTTTTTCTTCATTTGTCTGTTACTTACTACACATCTTAGTTTATTATCATCAACAACAGACCCAAATGGGCCCCAAGATATTCATTTGAGTAGACTGCCCTAATCATTTATCTTAGAAATACAAAATAGCAAATTATTCTCAATTGTACAGTTTTTTTCAAAAGATTACAAGACAGCAAGTTTAATTTCTTCAGCAATTACGTGTATATATTGATATTCATTTATGAACAACAATCTGTACATGCTTTATTTTTAACAAGGCCACCTGGGTGGAAGAGCCTCGGGTTCAGTTCCTGGACAATATTGAACTTTCATAGGAGGGCTTGCACACATCTTTCGCTTACAGTCCATTTGTACAATTATGTTACACATCACATTTTACCATCAATATTTAAAAATTATATTCATATTGCATTATTCAGAAATATATGAATATACAAATTGATAAATGAATATATATTTGACATAGCTTTACTATTTCTAGAATTTTTTCATGTTTTCTTTTAACTATGTGCATTTTTTCCCATTACATTTGTAAGTGAAATGTAAGAATTTATCAATTTGATAAAAAACTTTTATCATCATTGCAGTGATGATATAAGAAATCTCATATCCCCTGAAGGCTAACACCCACTGTTACATTAAAATTTGCTCCAGTTCTCTGAATGATGCTTCAGACCAAATTTATACAAAATCCATTAAGAACTAATAAAAAAACATTATTAATTTCCCTTATTGAGCCTTTCCCTATGAGGCAGAGACAAACTGTTTATATATAATTGATTCCCCTTCACAAAAGGATGCTTCAGACCAATATCCATTCATTCCTACAGGAGGAGTAGAATTTTTAAGAACTTGCAAATATTTCCTTTATGGGTTCTGCTCTTAATCCCCTATGGCACAAGACCCAATGTTTGTACAAAGTTTGTTCCTTTTCCTCCATGAATGCTTCTGACCACACTGATCAAAATCTGCATAATCGTTTATGACCAGTAGGGTTTGTAGGGAAGGATGATAGATTTAAACACTTAGAAAATCTTAAAGTCTAAAATCAATCAACACAAGAACCCTGACATTCTACAGAAATCTCCTTTACCTCCAGATGAGTTTCCAATGGCAGCCCCATCTGATGATGCGACTTTGGTGACAGCCGCAGGGTTGTATGTCCAGGATGTTCCGCACACCTCAACCTTCAGGTCATTATCATGATAAATCTGTTGAACACGGCCAATTTTGCCCAGAGTCTGTGAACAGAAATAACCTTAAACAATGTGAAAACCACAAGAAGACTGTAAATGAGCATGATACTATAAATCTGGATAGTATGAATCCAGAAAAAATGGCACTTTTCTGCCAACTTTGGATGGTTTTATCTTGGTCCATCCTCCTTGTATATTGAGATTTGCAGTCATCAATTTTTTTTATCGCTAATTCTTTTATCAATCAAATGTAATTTCATCCTCCTTGTATTTAATATTGGGATTTGCCTTCAACAATTGTTTTTTAATTGCTAATTCTTTCATCGATCAGAAGCAATTTGAATGCAAACAAATCCTGATTATTAAATAGGGCACAAGAGTTTACTGTGAAATAGACCAAATCTGAAAGAATATACTAAATGCAAGATGTAACTCAAATGCATTAAAAATTTCAGTCATCACTGGGCACACTACTCACAGGAATCATAGCCTCAGCCCATTCTCCATGTCCACGCTGTAGCAGTTTTATCTTCTCAGCATCACTGCAGATCTGAACCAAGTCTCCCACTGCAAACTGCTGTGTGGGTGGAGTAGGTGTGGTATTCTCATTGGCCGAAGCTGAAGCACTGCTCGGAGTATTCACCTTAGTTAAAACTGCTGGGTTGAAAGTCCACCTACAGTAAAATTGGGATGGTAGTGGATGGTAACAGCATATTGTTTGGAAAAAGGCAGCATTTCATGTTTAATTGTATGCAAAAGCAAAACACATGACAAGCAAAACACATGACAGGTATAAGCATAACAAAATAATAAAAAACAATGTTAATAGATATGTTTACCTGTCTCTTAACATTTATTTCAACATCATGATTGAAGCATATTATTAATAGTCATCAACATAAACCGGACACTTAGTAATATCTTTCTTGATTTAATATCAACTTAGTTTCAAACTTCCTAAAATTTGGCCCCATAATTTGTTCCTTAGGCATCATAAGGAAATACAGTATATATATATATATATATATATATATAAAATATCCTACTTCAAATTCATTTCACAAAACACGAAATATTTTATCAAACCTATACTTTTGAGAAGAATGAGAATGTCTTTGACAGATAGCCGTCGGTTCATTAAAGGTATCTACCTGTTACCACTTGGGTAGGACACCACAATATCATGGTCTTCGTCTATCCCTACTACAGTTCCTGTGGTACCCAGACACTGAAAAACAAATGGTGAAAACACTGATATCAGCATAAGCTAAATGATGATTCTGCCTTTTATATTCACATGATTTTCTTTAATTGATAGTGTTTTACATCACATGAAGAGACCCTAAATCATAAAATTAAAATATATGTAGATAAACCTTAGATCTCTGATGCCTTGTCTCTTTTTTCTCTCTAGACGTTTTAAAAAGTGCTGATGTCATCAATCATATACTATATTTATTTTGTCACAATCCAACTGTAACATGGTGCTACGGCATGTTAAGATATCAATATCAATGTACCTCAAACATGCCATCTGTCCATCCCCCATGACCATGTTGTAGGGACTGTACAATCTCAAGATCAAGGTCAACATTGACCTGATCACCAATAGCCAACCCTCCTGGTCCTGCCCTTGAGCCTGGACCCTGCTCCCCTGTGTACCAAAGAACAAAAACAATCAATTATTGATATGATTCTTATATTGTTTTTAAATAACTTACCAATTGACATAAATTTAATAAGGATTATTCTCGTATTGCTGAAACAGTATGATGGATCATAACTACAACTACACAAGTCAATACACTGGTTCAATATATTTACCAGGTGGAGTTGTGCTGACGATGAAAAAAACATACTTCCATAAATTACTGTGAAGGTGTTACTTTTTATTGGAATTAATTTTTCAATGTTTTAAAGCATATTATCATACAAATCTGAACATTGAAAATAATATTATAGAAATCCAGAAGCTTTCTCATGACTTTCATGAAAAATAAACAGTTGTTGCTTCAACAAAATACTTACCCAGCAATGGGAGATGATCTCTGTAGAAGGAGCCCCCTTTAGCATCATTCACCACTTTTAAATCAGCCTGTCAAATGTAACACATTCATTCATAAAAAAATCTTAGCCTTATGTCACAGTCAACTTAACAGCGGACTTTATCAACATTTCCTATTATAGGCACTTCCTCTTAAATCCTCAAGGAAACGAAATCATATATATCTTTTGTTATATCATTATGGTCCATTGCACTAAACAACTTTGACGGAGATATGTACATCTAGAGTAGTGAATTAAGACTTAGGTTATGTCCCTGGGACCAAGTCTCCTGATTCCAATACAATAGAAACTGAATGTATTCTTCCCTTTATGACATCTGCAACAGTTTATATTCTTAAACGACAACGATCTCAACAACATTCAGGTAATACCCTTGTAACTTTTAAGACTAATGCCCAAGGAACAGAGCTACATCCACGAGTCAATAAGGAGCATAAATGTTTTTAGCTCTTAAATGGTGGAGATCTCTATCACTTCCATCAGGAACTAAATCGCCAAGTTGATCCTAGTATTGTCTATCATTGTTGTATATTTCTCTTAACTGAAAAGCAAGTATTTAGCTGCTGACTAGGGAGCTCTATCACTTCCAAAATATCCAGTGACTAATTTAGTCCCAAAAGGGAGATTTGTCATCATCCTCGTCCTGTCAGCCATATCCATAACTAGGTTATTACTCTAGAATAAAAATGTATTTAGTAATGAAAACAGTTACACATTAAATAATTTCAACCTACCATCCCTTCAAAAGCAACTCTGTAAAGGTTTTTCGAAGCATTATCCCACAACACATATGCAGCACTTCTTGGGCTGGCAGCACCCCAGTCCTATGTGATAGATCAAAATGTATAATGAATTAACAAAGCATCCCAGATTTATAAATTTAAATATCCACTTTATCATAAAGAAAGACATGCAGTTTTAACACACCGAAATTTTGGTAGCAAATGGCAAAATTCTTTTTAAAGTCATACATTTATCCAAAACTATTGCATCAATGAATTATGATATACACATAAAATTACTGCGAATTCTCTTTCATCTTTTTGTTTGTAGGCATGTTGTTATGTTTCTTAGTATGTTTCCAGAATATTCATTTTCCAATAATAAAAACTTCTGATGTTTTATCAGCTTTCCACAATCCTGTATCTGTTATGAAATTTTTAGGTAGAATATAACTCTACAATGAAGCTTTCTACAACAAGTTAAAAGGAGCTTAGAGCTCTTTCGATTTTGAGCATAATGAGGCAAGGGAGGTAATCCATATTGAGAACAGATGATTATAAATAGGGTCACTTTCATGTATGAGATAAGGACAGACATTCTGATCTTAACATGCTTTCTGTGCAACATATGTATTGATATATTGAAATCTGTCACAATTGAAATGTTATATTTAAAATGCTGATAAACCGTTTTGTTTTTCAGATGGACAGCAGCCTCAATTTCATGTATCAGCATTTTATGACCAGCTGATGACACAATGATGATATGCTTCATTGATGTGTCGTGACTTCACCCATATATTGATGAATTCCTACACCTCTTATAATTACCTGTATCTCTATGACTTTTCCTCGTCGACCATTACCCCCATCTTGGTCATCCCACTGCCAGTCAACACCTCTTACTACTCTAGCCCCTGGGTAAATTCCTCTTGCAGTTATCTTTTTACTTTTCCTACGAGGCTCTACTGCAACTCTACAATGTCAATATCATCATTAATCTTTAGAAGAAATGGTTAATGTTTGAAACTACTTAATTTTACGATTTTAGAATATACTTTAGGCAATAATACCTTTTTCATTTATAGAAGGACTTACTTCATTGACTTTTTTAAAAAATTATAAACCATAATTACACAAAAAATTAAGTCTACACTAAGTCAGCTTCTCTTTCAAGTTCAAACTGTTTTATTTTTTTTTTTTTTTGTGTTTTAGCACTCAAAAATGTCATATCAAATTACATGCTTGTACACTGTAAATGTCAAAACAAAACAAAAAACTAAATTACATTACTTCAATTTATGTTGACATGTAAAAAGATACTTTATGGAAACCAAGCCTTGAGATATTCTCTTTTTTTTGTAATTTCTAATTTACTTTTCAATTATTCATTTTATATGGTATTTTGATGATCTTTATCAAATCTCACATCCTCCTTGCTATAAACAGGATATAGCTGGTATGAGCAGTTACACACTTAACAAGTAAGCTGACAAATTACAATACAGATATTCTGAATCTTAACTCTATCTGCTGATGTCTAAGGAGGACAGTTTTAATGAGAAGCTGTTCAATCCTGCAATAAAATACAATATATAACAGGATATAACATAAAAACTTACATAAAGTTGAATTTAAGGAGTAAGTTGTTGAATTTTATTGACTTTGGTGAATCAGTCTAATAGATGCAAAAATTCCATTAATCACAAAACTTCATAAATACGTCAAATTACAAAGACATGTTCAGTCAATGTTTCTCCAGAATATCTAATTGGCAAGAGGACATATTTTTCACTGCAATAACGTGACATTTATAACCTTACAATAGTGTTACTGTGCAATACATATTGTTTTTTTATAAAGTACAGTCTCACATAGGCTCTTTTATAACATATCTGTGATATACATGTATTGTGGTTCACAGCAATGTCATTGGAGGAAAATATTGCTCAGTCTGAAGTAAGTTTGCACTTATTTCATGGCATATAATATCAAATTTATGAATCAAACAGATATATTTCCTTAAAGCAATTATGATTTTCAAAAAAATAAAATACTGACGTTATCTATATATCACTAGTAATGAATCTGTCGCCATTAAAACCTTGTTACCTAAATATAGTGTGGTACTTCAGGATTTTCCATAAGAGCCGGTCGCCGGCCAATTTGACCGGCTACTTTGATCATTTGGCCGTCTACACCAATCCAGTTCCATAATAATGTTCCGTACACGACTACACGTATACGGCAGGCCAGCCTCCTACTTTCACTACACAGCCTACTACTAACAAAATTATGGAAAACCCTGTACTTACCGATCAGATCCTGGAACAGTTATTCTGTAAAATCTGTGGCGGAGATTATGTTTGTCTCCATGATAACAAACAGAGCACACATCATAGTTAGAACATTCTGCACACTTCCACCTGATGCCAAATATTGGCTGCTGTCTACATGTGTCACACATCGTACCATCATGTTTGATTCCTGATGAAATAAAACATTAAAATATTAAAACAAAGTTTCCATTTTTTTTCTCATTTTTCAACAAACTTAGGTCATCCTTTATCACATTTTCATGCAATGCCATATCTTCTTACATCCTACTTCAAGTCATTCTGAGGCATAATTATGTAACATCATCACATCAAATGGACATACTTTAATGATATGAACTTACATATATACATATACTCTACCAACGACGTTGGCTCTATAATTGAGAAATTTTAAATAGGGGAAAATGATGACTTCTAAATTGGATGTAGGCCACTTTCGTTTAACCCGGTTGAAAGGGTTCAGGTGTTAAGGTCACATTCCACAACACAAGAATGCACTTCACTATCTAGAGAAGTTTGAAATGTTTTTAAAGTAAAGATAAAAATACATAGTTTCAAAATATAACATTTTTAGAATTTTGTGTATCAATCTTCTTTTATGCAATTTTTTTTTAAACTAATGATATTCAGCCAGGTAGCTTTAGACACATACAGGCATATGCCAAATATTTCACAGACCAACCTTGATCCTGATCTGTGCCTGGTATTTCTCTTACAGGCACAGACTGTCCAACCATTTCAATCGCTAACACATAAGTATACTTTAGCATATCTATATCTAAGTCCATGCAGGTAGTCTTGTACTTACTATATGCATGAAACATTTTGATAAACTTGAAATGGCTCTATTGTATTTACCAAAAATGGCACATTGCAACACAAGAGACAGATCTATTACTTATCTCATGTGTTGATTTACATTTAAGTACAACGGTTCTCAATGAAGACAAAATATTGATATCTAAAGGATTAATTGAATTAACTGAATCCTACTGAATGAGCTTTGCCTATCTACTATATAACTTGATAACCATGATGGCAACATCAACAATGACAAAATAATTGCATTTTTGTGTGTATTTCAACAATGCTGCAGGACCTGTAGAAGCACTATCCAGAATCCTTAGGTCATAGGCTCCGGCACACCGATAGTTAGCAGCTGTTCCATTATCCCACACAACTACAACCTCCTCTGGAGACTCAAAATTTCTAACTGTTCCAGCATGCCCCTCCCCACCATCTTGTTTTCCCCATTTCCAGTCTGGTCCTCGAACGACTCGTGCCCCTACGCCTTCCATCAAGTTAGCTCTAACCACTCGGTTAGAGGTGCTTGAATTAGGCTCAATGTTATCAGCATTCATCCCGATTTCTTCGTCTAATTTAACATGGTTTTTATCCGATAAACTTCCCTACAACACTTTGACAGTCTCACCAAACTGTCAAAACGGAAGATGTCTTTTCTTCCTCTCTCGTAAAATCTCGCATTATGTCTCATTGCGAACGAGATTTCATCGTGCAATGGCGACTGCCAACATGAAACTACATAAACGTCGATCTCGTCGAAAAATAGCCGCTGTGAACTTTCTATCGAACATATCTCTAGATGGAACACACAAAGATACAAAATATGCGATGTTTAACAGAAAACACCATCGACTAAAAGATGAAAACGTCGAAGATAGCAACAATATAAATGTAAACAAAGCTGTCTCGGGAAAACAGATAATGGACGAAGACTCTTGTGATGAAGATAGTGTCGATGGGACTCGAAGTTTGGTACCCGTTGATATGCAATCAGCGGGTACCCAGCACATTGTGTCTGTGCAGATTGAAGTTATTCCTAACGACGGACCAACCGTTACTCCAGAACCCCCTCCATCTGTTAATGTTACGCCAACTAAAAGGTAGAATTTTACTGTTATGGCAAAAGGGCAGCAATATATATATTATGTCAAATGCAAATCTGAAGTTTGATTTATAGCCAAAACCAAGAATGGTTTTATTTTGTAAACTCTGATAGAAGAAGTAATTTAATTGCAGAAGAAACTCCAGCTCATGACGTGTTATGTAAGTAGTTACAAAGGGGCAAGTCATTTCGGTACTAGGTTGTTTCGGCACTTGCACCATGATTCATTTCGGTTCTCAGAAAAGAGTTTAGAAATTCGTTATAAACAGGAAGGTAAAAAACACATTTATTTGTAACCGGCAACTAGTACACCGTTGTCAGAATACACCTGCAACATGCATTTTTGCTGCATTTGGCAGTGAAGGAAAACAGCTGTATCATAGCATATGCAGTAATTTGACAGAATAACTTTAAATTTGAAATTACGTTTAATAATGTAAATGACTGTTTATAAGTAATAAGTGACTTGTTATGTTGTAATGAATAATGAAATAATTTACGAAAATTTATAAAATCGTGGTCATATCCACTGATGTTTGGAACTAGATTTCTGTGTGGAGCAGTTATTTTGGCATACACCATCAGAATAATTTCAGTATATTTGAAGTTTTAACTGTCTGATTTTTAGTCATGGTTGCAGGATAAATAGAATACATAGTCAATGTCATAAAATGTAATCTGTATTTTGGCTACAAACAGAAAGACATCGCTTTTGTCTTTCTTCACCCTTGTCAAATTACAGCTTTTCATGTATTCTCTATGTAATACACAAACTAGCCTTTTTTACACCCTAATTGGGTATGGCTTTGTTATTATAAATAGCTGAAATCACTTTATACTTAGCTTTCCTTTTCTTTTATCCATTTCACATTTATTTAGTCATGAAATATCATAATATCAAATAGATACAGCACTTCCAGCCTAATTTAGGCTATGTTACGAAAGTATAGTTATTACAGCAATAACAGTTTCATAAAATTTCTAAGTAACCAGCACTTTCAGTAAACGTCTAAGTAAATCATTATTTACCTTGTCATAAATAAATGCGACATTTTTTGTAATATATTGAATGATACATATACTGAGTATTCAATATCGGCAGAAAAGGAATCATCTCTTAATTATCATTAATAAGATTATTTCATTTGTCAATTTAGATAGATCACTTTTAGATAGATCACTTCTCTGTTTTTAATCATATCTGTATATCAATAACTTCAGACTGTTGAGTGTTTTTTGCATTTTGCTGTGTCTATTTGAATCGCTCTGCCTCCATCGTCTGTGTGACCGTAAACAACTTTTGTTATCACTATTTCTTGAGAAGTATGATATGGATCTTTCTCAAATTGCATACGTAGGTTTAACTTGGTCCCTAGATGTGCCCATTTGATTTTGGGCCTGATCAAAAAGACAAAATGGTCAAAAGGCTGCAATCCTGGATTTTTTCAATGAGGTTTGTTATTGCTATTTCTTGAAAGGTAAGGGATGGATCTCTCTAAAATTTCATATGTAGGTTCCCCTGTAGTTGTGCCCATTTGATTTTGGTTCTGATCAGAAAAACAAAATGGCTGACTGACGGCCATCTTGTATTTTAACTATGAAAGTTTGTTATTGCTATTTCTTGAGAAGTATTTGATGGATATTTCTCCAATTTCATACATATGTTCCCTTTGATTTCTCCTTGTGCTGGTTTGATTTTGGGACTGATCAGAAGATACAAAATGGTTTCCAGATTGCCAGGTTGGATTTGGCAAGTAAAGATTATCATTACTATTTCTGCAAAGGAATGTTCGAATGTCTTATCATTAAGAGCAAAAACAGAGAAGGGAAAAGATCCAACATTCAAAGAGCATATAAAGATCAAACAAAGGTGGGCACCAAGATCCCTCCGGGATCTCCTGTTAATAAAAATGGAGTCTGTTAATCATCAAAATAAAAGGATTTTTTTCTGATATGTTATATGATCTCTTTACAATATGTCCAAGAAAATCTGAAAGGTATATGTTCCCATGTTTTTTGATGTACATGTAATATTGATATCTTACCTGTGACAATGCACTGTCATTTATGTTATATTCCTACATGGTTAAAGTCATGACTTCAAACTCATAAACATTTTAATACATTAATACACATAATTTCATATTTTTGAAGTAATTTAAAGTGAATTATTAAACAAAAACTTATCTTGGAATTAATTTATGCCCATAGTAATTGCATCTTCCCCATGTGTCTGTATCTGGTATATGGGTATGTACTTAGTTTTGTTATTAGAAAATTAGTATCTGATACAAATTAAATACAACTGATGTGTGATCAGCATGTATGTTTCAGTATGGTAAGCCTTTCGTCAGTTCGAATAAAAGTAATAAAATATTGTTGAACCTAATCAAATTATAAGAAACGATGCCTGTGAAAATAAATTGGAGTGCAAACTGGGATTTTGAAATACATATTTTTGGGCCCTGTTCTTGTAGGTGTTTCAAAATCCCTATTGCGTATTTGATGAAAACCAACGGAAACATATAGGATAACTACAACAAGGAAAGCACAATTCTGCTTGTGTATTGGCGGAAGTTAGCGTTGACATATCGGTATGCAGTGTTGATTGAGACTTGATATGACTACAGATTAATGTTTGTTAAAATCTTTATGAATCTTTCAGTTATTGGGACAATCTTGATGTGATTATCTTACCAAAATGTCCTTTGACACATGTCGATATTCCATGGTCCGTAAATATTTACCGATCGCTTAGCTTGTCATACAGAGTTTGGGCCTCAAGTTGTGTAAGTTGAAGTGCACACGATGTTACGGCAAGATGTGAAATAATCCACTCTACACATCAATGCTGATTAAGTAACATGTATGTGATGCAATTAATTGCTGCTAATGGTCATTTACATCTGCTACCAACATTGTTTAACATCAGTGTGAATCGTGACCACATGGAGCGATTATTGCCAATGCCCATATCAGTAGTGAGACATGTGGTCTCCTGATATGTTCAAACAATTTGAAATGTAAGTGATACAAACTAGAAAGGGTTTGAACTATCACTAGAGAAAAAATAATTTTGTTTTTATTGAAAAAATCATGTGATTAAACTACCCGCCTATTGGAGCTGACTGTTAGTTTACCGTATATTGACATCTTTATGGGGAGCAGCACATAGTACAGATAAATAGTTCTACATGTTGTACTATGTTTTCCAGGTTATAGGCAACACTTTTTTCCTCTTAGTCGGGATGATTGGAAGATTAGAATAAAAATAACATTCCCATGGATTTAATTAATCATACCTTTTAATATGAATCGCAATATCTTCTGGACTTTTGCGGTTACTTCGAAGTCGTAGCTGAAGTTTACAGTAGGTCATCAGGTTATAGGTCAAATTCTTGATCTACTGCCATGATTGTTTACGGTACCGGTATATGTAACTTTCAAGAAGAAATAATATGGGACTATAAGAATTTATAATATTTTATATTTTTATATATTTTTATATTTATAATAAGCATGCAAAGGCCTTTGTTAGTATTTAACAATACAGACCCCGATGGAGTGATTGTTTAGTAAATCGCACATAACTTCAGGTCCTTTGTCTGAGCATAGACAATCTGTGAAGGCACCCAAGCCAAACATATTCGTCATTTGCTATTTTACATTTTTTTTAAATACATCAGTAACATAAAGAATTATCTGTGTATAATTCAGTCGCAAACTTTATGAAATGTTTCACTAATGATTTTGATAAATTGCCCTCTGTTGTCTGTTGAATCCACAAATTTTGATCAATGTAACCGATACCACTTCGTTAGAAATGGTGTAGCTTATATGTGGATCAAATCAAAATTGGTAAAATTGACTGTACAGCTTATATACCAGTCTGGCTTATACTGGTAATCCGGTATATATGGTAAGCTGTAAGCGATAATTGCCTAACTCTCTATTCATGCTGAATTCAAGAGAAAAAAGTCATTCAGTCGCCATCTTGTCGGGATGTATATAAGATAGACATGACCCAACATGTAATAAAAGATAAGTTTATTTATAATATGTTTATATTTGAGGCTGGCAAGGACATTGTTGTCATTTTGAGATAAAAACTACCATGTAAATATGCAGGATCTGTCATTAATTTGACATCCATAAAGTCAGGATGTATATAAGATAGATATGACCCAACATGTAATAAAAGATAAGTTTATATATAATATGTTTATATTTGAGGCTGTCAAGGACATTGTTGTGGTTTTGAGATAAAAACTACCATGTATATATGGAGGATCTTTCATTGATTTTACTATTCTGATATTGGAAGTCTGATTCATAAACGTATATGTTGCACTCATTACAGAAAGGAGTTTTAAAGCAATTTATATCTTTAGCTACACATGCACTAGCTTAGTGGTGGAGTGGCATCGAAAAAAAAATCTTTACAAAAGGATCTTATGTTTCTATCACCATGGAGAATATTAAACTCTTACGTCAGACTATTACAATGTTACAGATTTGTTATGTATGATAGGCACTATATAACCCTAGCAAAATATCATCATTCTAATCCATGGAGTTAGAACCTGACAATTATTAAGGAAGGTGTTTACCATTACGTATATCCAGTATATTGTCATTATCTTAGAATTTGTTTGGATTTGTTCTACCTCTCTCTTGAAAATTGCAGTTGTTTGCTGTTTTTCAGATTTTCACGATCAGGATCATACTCAGGGGAACATGAAAGAATAGCCAGAAGGAAGATGATTCAGCCTCTGAATGACCCACTGGGACAAATGCAATCTGATAGACGTATGTGTGTGAAATAGTGTCTTGTTGTCAAAGTCACTATGACCTTGTCACTATTTTTTTTTTTTCTAAATATGTTCTAAAATATATTTCTAAAAAATAAAAGTGGAAAAATTTGTTTCAATGAAATTTAAATAAAAAGTGCCAAAAAAAAAATAAAATAAATAAAGCAAAAATTCTCATTTGTGTTATAATAGACCAGTAGAAATCATGTAAAGGAATTCTATAAGCCTCACTGATAAAGAATACTTAGACGAGTTTGATCAGATTTTTATACTAGATATTCAAGTCTTTGTTTACCATTTTTCATCAAAAAGTATACAGTGTCTATACAAGCCACAGTATGAAATCCTTAACAGATCTTTCAAAGTTGATATTGAAATCTTGGGTGTAGAAACCATAGCTTTAGAAACTATATTCCATTTGAATTATAATACCAACGATGATAAAAAGTGAACATATTTGATTTTTATCACGCAAGGGAGTAACCATGTTTCACACTGACTCTTTTGACACAGGCTGTATCGGTTCCATTTCAGTTGACAGATATAGAAGATCAAGTTCACTTTCCAATGAATCCAGTGATTCTGCAATAAAAGACGGGTCCATAAGATTTATGTCCCCTACTGACAGCAAGAGGTTGGCCAGGAAGGGCAGGTAAGATTCAGTAGCACTCAACTAAGGCAACAGGTTGGTACATTATTTGAATGTGCATGGAAAATGATTTTACAAAAACAAATTGGACAAAAAATTAATGAAAAAAATCTTTCATCTTTATACTCCTTTGTAATTTTGATCTTATGGTATGGTGATAAATTTAATGTTTATACAGCTGTTGTAATTTCAAATTTTGGTATGGTTAACCTCCTGTCAATTTACTGTTGAGTGTCTGTAGTCAACAAATGTAATACACTGTTACATCTTAAGATAGGGGAATGTTGTACACTGACATTGTGTCCCTACTATCATTAGGTACAGAGTTGTCGTTCTTTGTTTACTTCTTTGTCCAGAATATAAATATATATTGCTAATGAAGAGTCCCTTGTATACTGAAGCATTTTGGAGTTAAGTGGTGCATACACAGATCTGGTCATTTATAGAGTTATTTCCCTTTTTTTGTCTAGGCCATAACATTACCAGTTCTTGGTAAAGAGTAGTCATACTCTGTGCACATATTGATTTGAATGGCAGAATTGTGTATTTCATACTTACATGATGTTCTGCACAATCTTATTTTCCACATAATTGTCCTTAGTTATTTTTTTTGTCTTGAATATAACATCATTGTTCTTAGTCTAAAGTCAGGTTAATTTGTACACATACACATGCCTAAATAGGGGAGTTTGAGGCACTAATATGGTTCCCAATCATTTCAGTATTTACTAATGGAATCTGTATATATATATATATATGTATGTGTGTGTGTTCATGACCAAATAATCTCACTTGAGGGTTGACTTTCTGTAACAAAATCTCATGTGAGGCGAGGTCAAGAATAAAATGTCAGTCCCAGACAGAAATTAATCAATCTTAAATATAGGTGGGTAATGGGATTCTGTTTCTTGTACATCGTTTTGTCAGAATTGTAAAAAAAAATGTATATAAAACTAAATAACTAAATATATAACTAGATTCATTTAATTTCTTTGATTCTATTAGATTACCTCCCTTTGTAGTTATACATTTGAAAGACAAGTTAATGTGGCATTATTTCAATTACGATGACAATCGGCACCAAATATTGTGTAGATATATCAGACAGACTAGAAGAGATAAACAGACCTAACTGCTTGAGATTTCCCTATTTCATGTACGAGTTGTTACTCTATGCTTGTCTGAGCCATAGCTTTATCATTCCTTCCAATGTTTACAGATATATTCTCCCAATGACTGTCATGCTCCATACTACCACAGTACATCCCCTTTCCCACATGTTTTCCACATGTACTGATTTAGATAACAAATAACAAGGCTGGAGGCTTACTATGAATATTACTGACGGCAGAATTAAACACAAATTTGCTTACTCGTATGTCACGTACCTTTGAAAGGTGTTTGATTAGTTTTTACATTTCTAGTGAGAAAAGGGTGTATTACGGCATTATGAAGTTTAAGTAACTCTGTGTGGGATATTATGACAAAAAAGTTACTGTATATTACTACAGAAGTTTTTGTTTATGTTTGTACTGCATGGTTGTTTATACTACGAATGTGTGAGAAATATCAAGTTGAATTTTTCTGTGTCTGAATACTCCTTGATTATTAACAAAGAGTCAAACTTTTTTATTTCCGTGTTAAGTATGAAAATATCAGGAAATAAAAAGCCATTTTTGTATTGATATTTAAATAAACTCTTTAGGTATCAGATTTTGAAATAGTGATGATAGTATCCTTTTTTTCTCCCTCTCCTAAACTTAGTTATACATTTAAAATAAATCTGACGTAGGTATGAACATTGAAGCTGCAGAATAAAATGCATGAATCAATGAAAATGTTCTCCTTGATTGCTTTGGTTGATGGTTACTGTTGGAGTGACTTGTTGTGATCCCTTCTGGGCCATACCTGCATGAGGCCTCTGTTTCCCCACAGGTTGTTGCTTGTCTCTAAGAGGAAGGTTCCCATTGCTGTTTGTTCTACTTTACCCTACAGTCGCACTAAGTTCCAAGGGAGGTAAGCAGAGACGGCAAGGATTTATCTTGTTAAAAGGATAACAAGATTTCCTTGGATGCATACAGTATAATATTATGCCATCATATCATCATTCCGTCATGCTGACTTTTAATTTAGTTTCTGAATTCTGAATTCAAGAATTTATTTTACTATTGTCCATTGCAAAATTATATATTTCATTTCCTTAAAATTTAACTGGTGTTTCATGCCTGTTATCAAGTTGCCAGGGTCTATACATGTGATACATGTTTAATCTCAGGTCTTCATATTGTGTTTCACAATTTACTTCCTAAAATAAATCTATTAATGTGAAATTTTGTATATAGTTAGATATTTGGTTCCAGTCAACTATTCCAGTGAGTGATGCTCTTGAACATAGAAAATATCTGTATCTGTATTCTCAGAGAGACCAGAATTATCAGTTTACTGCTTCGTCATACCTAGGCTAATGAAATCTGTTATGATAACTCTTTATTGTTTTATGTATTTTAACACACATAAAGAACCTGTTTCATCAAGGATATGATAAATTCACTCTTATAGGTCTGATGATGACCTCCTCATCACAAGGACAAGACATCACTCTGGTACCAAGTCTTCAGCTGAGGGACAGATTACTTTGGGACTACATGCCCTTGTGCGGGTGGATGATGGACAGGTATGTAAACAGACTTTACAATTTATTTTTGATAGTTTCAAAGAAACCTAAATAGTTCCAAATCTATTGATTTCAAGAAAAATGTTTCAGATTGAAAATAAAAAGAAATCTTGTAGTCTGATTTCCTATAAATAAATAACTTTACTTGCTTGTTATAAAAACAGGATATATCATACAGTGAGCTACTGGTTTCATCTAAAGAGGGTCCGTTGCGGCGGAGCTTGTCAGAGCAGGTTCCGTTAAACATTCCAGACACTCCGCTGTCGACAGGTATGTGCTCAACCATCAGTATTCTGCTAAGCTATCAATAGTGTTGTAATTTGGTGTTGTTGCTAAAGTATGCATTATGTTAATAAACATGCCAGAAAAAGCTGTATAGAGAATATGCTATAGAAAACCACATGTATTGTGACATGTGACGGTATGGAAATTTTAAAGTTGTGCAAGTTAGAAGTTAAGGATACCTTTAATGGAAAGGATCCATACTAATGCTTCTATAGTGTATGACTTCTGTTTTAGTTTTTATTTTGTTAGAAACTGTAGGACCTACTGTGCTAGATAATCAGACAATACTTTACAATCTTAAAATAGAGTTTTAGACGGGGAGATCATATAATTAATTTTTTTCGAAATTTAGCCATATTTTATTTTGAAACTACATGTGTAGGTAATTTTTGGCTGGTTTTTGTGATACTGAGTTTAACTTTGAATGTTAACCTCTAAAATCTGTACACAGTTCTAAAGCGACACTATCAGTCATGGGGTAACTGTGAGTAAGATTTTACAACTATTAGAGATTAGGAATTTACACTTTAGAAATAATGATTGATAGTTTTACACTTATTTTTGTATGAATTCTGCTTTCCTATGACGGTTTTACACTTTATCCCGAGAACACAATGCTGTGAGTTGCATTAAATGAATGTATATATTGTATTAAATTCAGCCTACTTACAAGTTAGCATTTTATTTATATACCTAAAAGTATATTTTATATAGTATCTTTTATTTTTTTTATCCAGAGACACAATAACAAACTATATCATTATTATATCAGATTTAATATTTACTAATTCTTATTGGTTACAAAGTTTTTTTTTCCATATAAACAGCTGATATTTTAACATCACATGATAATGAAATATTGAAACTACTAACCCTGATAATAGACTGTAACACAACACATTACTAATGATCACAAACGTGTGTACTTGTTTATCTACACTCTTAGAACTGTACATACAGAAATCATCATTTGACTTCAGTTTTAATATTTTTAGAGGTCTAACAATATTAGGTAATCTCAAGATGACCAGTTAGAATAGAACTTAATCGTAAGTGATGGCGGTTGTTTTAATAAATTTAATAATTTCCTTAATAAAGTTTGTTATTTATCCACTCAATTAGTGTCAGCCAGACGCCACATTTTACCAGAAAAGAAGAAATACAAGGTGTTTTACTGTCTAGATGGATGTTTGATAAACTCTCAAGGTTTCCTTTAAACTCCCATGTTCTAGGAAGAATATGGCTATAATTTACTTAAATATTTTTAATTTTTAAAAAATCTTTTGATTGCATCATGAAGTCTAGTAATCACTTTTTTTACAATGTATTTCTATTTTATTTTGATAGTGGTAGTATATTTAGTTAAGTAAACAAATAAGTAACAATACTTCATTTGGATATTTATGTATACTGGTTAGTGTAAAAACTTTGTAGATAAAGGTTACGTTTTCTTGATACTAACCATCATACTACATGCAAACAAAGGAAGTTATCTGTCAATCAATATACGGTTATAACATGTCATGTGTAGTTATTTTATACTGATCATACTGTGATAAAATATAGACATATGGACAGAAAAAAGTAACAACTTTAATTTGAAATAATCGAGCTTATAGCATCTCCTTTTCCGATATTATTATTCAGACCTTAGTTCAGGAGAAAATAAAGTGGGACCAAGAGAGTGTTAACATGTTACAGATAAGGGAGGGGATAGGAATATTGATGGCTCTGTAGTGTTGTAATGCTACTTTTCCAGCTAAACAGAATGAAGGTGCAGTAGGATTTTTTTTATACTAAGTGATGCAGTCCCAGATTTTTTCTCCAAATTTTTTGCTTTAGCTCCCCTCCCTACTCCCTTGGCATGATTGAGATTTTAAATCATTAGTTTGTTTAACTAAAAATAGATATCCTTAATAAATAATGCTTGATATCAGACAAAAGAGATTAATGTCAGATATCAGACCATAGAGGTTAATGTTAGATGTCAGACAGTAGAGGTTAATGTTAGATATCAGACAGTAGAGGTTAATATTGGATGTCAGACAATAGAGGTTAATGTTACATGTAAGACTTAAGTGGTTAATGTCAGAATTAAGACAATGTAGGTAAATGTTAAACATCAGACCATAGAGGTTTATGTTAGATGACTGATAACTGTATAGTTTCAGTTTTTAATATTACATGCCGATCAGCTCCTCTAACTTACCATATAACATCTACAGAACAATATTAATGTGAATCATGAGGGTGATCTCACAAGTAAAATTGGATTCTTAACAATCTGAATGTGTTAACCTTGCTAATCATGATCTCTAAACATCAGACTGATGTAAACTATATCTTTAACCCTGATTTTACGTCAGAATATGTGAAAACATTGTGATGATCTCTAGTTTTCATCAGATATTATATTCCTATAACCTATTCAATCTCTTATTCTTTACTTCTACGTAAAGCTAACGCTATCCTTGTGGCTTTAACTAGATTTGTCATTACTTTCATGGTATTTTGATAATCTGTCTTGGTACATTGGGCAACCTCCATGATGCTTTTTGGGTTTGGATTTGATTTTACTGCATGTTGAAACTAAGAAACTGTTTAGCTTGGCTCCATGCTATTACCTACATGACATTTACATCTTGTAGGTAAATCTTTTAATATATATATATATATATATAAACCAGGTATATACATATACAGATGTGATGCTCTTGACTATTGTAGATCTACATACCGTTACTTTCATTTTATACTACTCAGAAATAACCATGAATGTTATATTTTTTAAACATGTTCATGTGTTCACCGCCTAGGAATAACTGTTTTGATCAGGTCGTGAGTTTGGTAGAAGTGTGTCCTACGATCCCACCCACTTACACCGCTCGTCTGTGATAGCATCAGGCCTAAAGAGAGGTATCCACCTTTTCTCTCCCCTCAACGAGGCTTGGATGGTGTCAATCTCTGTGCCACTGGATAGCTCATCTGGTCATACAATGTGTAGTTTTGCTCAACAGAACTTTACCTTGCTTGCTGTTTAGTATAGTTATATTGCATCGTGTACATAATATGTATACTGGTGACATTTAGTATTAAGTTACTTTCTGCATGCTTATTTGCTTTCTGTGTGGTGTGTCAAAACTTGTTCCATTAACCATATTCTTTGTTTAGTTCTAATGTCTAACACTTTCCTCAGCATGAATGCTCTGTTTTGACATGTTTGATAATTTTTCAATAAGTCTTTAAAATGAAAACAGAAGTAGTCACACATTTCATTCATAAGGTAAGTATCACCTACAGATTTTGAAATTTGGTTAACAATGTATCAGTGTCATGTTTGGTTCTATGGATACAATATCGTACGGTTTCATTAGGCTAACTGTCTTGTCGTCTTAACACATAGGAGGGAGAAAAGATATTGAAAACCTACAAAATACTTCCTTATTAATTTCACAAGATAATTTATTTAACAAAGGGAAGGGAATGACACTAAACAACAATTTGCATGACAAAATTCCCCTTTATAGGTTTTGGTAAAAGCAGCAATATGGTGACATTTTTTACATTTATGAATGATTACCATCCTTTAAGTATTGGCATGCTGGTGTCGTACAGTAATCTGAGTTTTCATTATGGAAAATTATTTGCAACAATCCTACCTTGCCATACATCCTAAAGTTTATTCACCTTTCCAATTATTATTTTTACTGTTCTTTGAAAAGAGATTTAAAGGGAAAAACAAAGCAAAACACCTTAGTGATACTTAAATATTATAAAAATCTGTGGAAGTCTGGAATGTATCAATGTGGACCTTGCAACAGTGACAAAGAAGGGAATCAGTCAAAAAAAAACCATTGAGGATTTTCTTGATTTCTTGTTGATGAATAATTGTTACATACATTTGTAAACAAAGATCATCCAAATCTAGCTGTTCATACAGTGATAAACACAGCAAACAGATGTGTTGTTTTCTTTGGCAACAAAAGATAGGTTTTTTAGATAATTTATAAATTAAGTGCATAGTATGTGTGAAAATAGGAAAAATATTCAATCCACTATTTAATTTTCTTTATAAAAAAAAAAAGATACATTTTTTATTTGTCATAGGTATTAGAACGTTGGTACATGGATATCACAAATATAGAAATCTGTTAACTGCATTTCACTCCATGAAATTCAATATAGTTGTTACAGGGTTTTCCATAAGAGCCGGTCGCCGGCCAATTTGACTGGTTACTTTGATCATTTGGCCGTCTACACCAATCCAGTTCTGTAATAATATTCCGTACACGACTACACTTACACAGCAGGCCTGCCTCCTACTTTCATTACACAGCCTGCTACTAACAAAATTATGGAAAACCCTTTATGATAAGGTCAGAATACAAGCATTGATCTCAGTAATTTCCTTGTAATGGAAAAGCCTTTGCTATTTTTAGAGAGGTATGTTCCGCTAATGCTTTCGCTTCACCACAGATAAGCGGTAGAAACCGTCCAGGTCTCACGCGATGAATACAGCACTTGGTAGTGATGATACTCTATACCAGAAAGTCTATTATTCCCTTTTTAAAATTAGGGTAAATTTCAAACTTACTTCTGGCAGAGTTTAACAAATTATCTCACCCATGAATAGCTTTACATTTGTATTTTATCAATGTAATTTTTTTCAGAATGAATTGTAGTATTATTAAAAGGAAAGGTGAATATTTGCTGTATGCTCTTATATGCACCTATTTTGCTGATCCCCAGCAATTATTTTACATATGTGTGTAGGGTTGAATTCTAGACCGTAGATAAATAATATCAAGCATGACACACAATGTACCGATGTTTGTGGATCAGTGTGATTGGGAACTTGTCTTGTTAAAATACTTCATTTTCAGATTCTTGGTACAGTGTTAACTGTAGTGTATCATGTGTGTTATCATATTTGAATAATGAAAAACATTATTAATTGTCGTCCTGCGGCCAGTTAGCTTAATTTCTGGAACACTTGTTTACTGTTGTCACCAGGCCAGTTAGCTAAAACTTCAGAACACTTGTTTACTGTCATCACCAAGTCTTGTTAGCTAAAGCTTTACACTTGTTTACTGTCATCACCAAGTCAGTTTACTGAAGCTTTACAACACTTGTTTACTGTCATCACCAAATCAGTTTACTAAAGCTTTACAACACTTGTTTACTGTCATCACCAAGTCAGTTTACTGAAGCTTTACAACACTTGTTTACTGTCATCACCAAGTCAGTTTACTGAAGCTTTACAACACTTGTTTACTGTCATTACCATGTCAGTTGGCTAAAGCTTTACAACACTTGTTTACTGTCATCACCAAGTCAGTTGGCTAAAGCTTTACAACACTTGTTTACTGTCATCACCAAGTCAGTTTACTGAAGCTTTACAACACTTGTTTACTGTCATCACCAAGTCAGTTGGTAAATTTTTACAACACTAATTTACTGTCATCACCAAGTCAGTTTACTGAAGCTTTACAACACTTGTTTACTGTCATCACAAAGTCAGTTTGCTAAAGTTTTACAACACTTGTTTATTGTCATTACAATGTCAGTTTACTAAAGTTTTACAACACTTGTTTACTGTCATCACCAAGTCAGTTTGCTAAAGCTTTACAACACTTGTTTACTGTCATCACCAAGTCAGTTGGCTAAAGCTTTACAACACTTGTTTACTGTCAACACCAAGTCAGTTTACTGAAGCTTTACAACACTTGTTTACTGTCATCACCTAGTCAGTTTACTGAAGCTTTACAACACTTGTTTACTGTCATCACCAAGTCAGTTGGTAAACTTTTACAACACTAATTTACTGTCATCACCAAGTCAGTTTACTGAAGCTTTACAACACTTGTTTACTGTCATCACCAAGTCAGTTTACTAAAGCTTTACAACACTTGTTTATTGTCATTACCATGTCAGTTTACTAAAGTTTTACAACACTTGTTTACTGTCATCACCAAGTCAGTTTGCTAAAGCTTTACAACACTTGTTTACTGTCATCACCAAGTCAGTTTACCATGTCAGTTGGCTAAAGCTTTACAACACTTGTTTACTGTCATCACCAAGTCAGTTTACTAAAGCTTTACAACACTTGTTTACTGTCATTACCATGTCAGTTGGCTAAAGCTTTACAACACTTGTTTACTGTCATCACCAAGTCAGTTTACTAAAGCTTTACAACACTTGTTTACTGTCATCACCAAGTCAGTTTTCTAAAGCTTTACAACACTTGTTTACTGTCATCACCAAGTCAGTTTACTAAAGCTTTACAACACTTGTTTACTGTCATTACCATGTCAGTTGGCTAAAGCTTTACAACACTTGTTTACTGTCATCACCAAGTCAGTTTACTAAAGCTTTACAACACTTGTTTACTGTCATCACCAAGTCAGTTTGCTAAAGCTTTACAACACTTGTAAACTGTCATTCTCAAGCTTGTCAGCTAAAACTTTACACTAGCTACTGTTGTGTGGGATTTGATTTGTATGTGATACCTGTTACTGAGTACGTAGTGTAGCTTTTAATCGACAAAACTTGTTTGAGTGTTGATTTGATTTTTCTTTCACTCAAATTTTGCTTTGTAATAATTAGTATTTTAAGTAGAAATATTACACTGTGAGTAGAGATATTCTGCTGTTATTAAAACACAATGTAACTGTTGGTGTAATCTATGAAGATATAGAGCCAACGCCGTAGTGTCTAGTTGTGGATTACAGTATCTTCCCCACCCGCCTGGATACCCGAAGGTATGCAGGGGATAAAGGAGAAAGGGAAAACTTAATAGTTACTATTGGTGTAATCATTACATTATCAGTAGAAACATTACACTCTTAGTAATAAACATAACACTATTTGTAGAAATATTAAACTGTTAGTATAACACAATTACACTACAAGTAAAGATAGTTACACTGTTAGTATAACACAATTACACTACAAGTAAAGATAGTTACACTGTTAGTATAACACAATTACACTACAAGTAAAGATAGTTACACTGTTAGTATAACACAATTACACTACAAGTAAAGATAGTTACACTGTTAGTATAACACAATTACACTACAAGTAAAGATAGTTACACTGTTAGTATAACACAATTACACTACAAGTAAAGATAGTTACACTGTTAGTAGTAGAAGCATTAAAGTTTAGTGCAAACATAACAATGTTAGTTGAAGCATTACACTCTAAAATAGAATGTTACACTTTTAGCAGACAAATTACACTGTTAACAAAAACATTACATTTTTAGCAGAAGCATAGCCTTGTTTGTTTGGACATTACATTGTGATTAAAACCATTACATCATACATTACACTGTTTGTGGAAGTATTCACTTTTTTAAGCACCATCATCAGATCGTGGGCTATTCAAATCGCCCTAGTCTGTCCATCCAATTTTTGTTATTGCTATTTCTTCAGAAATATTGGATGAATCTCCTTCAAATTTCAGTTGTAGGTTCCCCTTGGTTCCAGTTTGATTTTGGGACTGATCAGAAATGTATAAAGGCCAGCTGGTGGCCATGTTGGATTTTGCCTTGTGAAGTTTGTTATCGCTATTTCTTAAGAAGCACTAAATGGATATCCACACATATATTGTAATGACTTAAGTTGGGAGTTGTTCCATATCAATATTCAAAAGGAGGGTATCAGCCTGTGATTGGTCTGTTTTTTTCTTCTGTAACCAATCAAATGACTTTGCTTGTGCCTTTAAGTTTGCCATGCCATGTTCCAGGGGTGCAGAGAGTGAAAGTGATCGTAACCTCTTGAGTATTGAACATGCCTTTTCTAATAAGTGGACAGTTACATTATGTTTTTGTGGTACTTCTGTTTTCTTTGAACTCTGCATAAAGATTTTGAAAAAATGACAACTATTAATGCGATGCTGGCTTTGCACACCTTCTGAAGAACTATACATGTATAATGTAAAAAGACTAATATGGATATTATCTGTACAAATTGTACTCATAAAGTTATATAAATATTAATTATAAAATATATAACACATTGTTTACAAAAGACTTATATAGATAATATGTATCTATCTAATGTACACATCTTTTTTATGAAGGAATGTTATTGTTTAAAATTAGGTATAAACATATTTGATGGAAGATTATCTAAAAACATTTTTCATATATGTATATTGATTCTGGCTGCTATTGGTCTGTGTAAAGTCTATCATGTAGGTTATTTATGTTATGGCTGGTATGTTCAGTATTCAAAGTACCTTGAGCTATAGTAAAACTGTGATAAGTGCTTGATTTAACATTTAATTCAAGGCTATGCTGTTAATTGATTTTAACTAGTATTTAGTAGAATTCTTATCCACATAGTAAGAAAAATAATGATTTATATAGTGTTTAAATGCAGTTTAAGTAACTGTGTTGTGTCATACGTGAATTTGTAAGCTCACTTTGTAGAGGAATGTTTTTATGTTTACTGGCAGCAATTGTACCAACTGGGTAGCTTAAAGCTTTCATCAGTTTTTTTTATTGCTGATAATTCATATACATTCTATGCACTATTGTTTAAAATGTCAATAAATATCCAAGAATGATTTGATGGAATTTTTGATGTTGAAATTTTTCTCTTTTTTTTCATATTTTAGCATGTTTTAGATTAACTTTTATTACATTGAAACTCAATTTGATAGTTTTGAAAGACTTATAATCCAAGCACATGCTCCACATCCATCATATCTCCTAAATACATTTATTTCAGGTGTAGGGTGATGTAACCACAGAACCTTCAAAACCCACTTCTATGTGAAAAAAAATCACTTGACTCCTTGACAAATGTACATCATTGTGGTCAATATTTACCATATTACCGACTTCACTTAAATCAAAATAGAATTAGAAAGTAACATTTTTGCCATGACCACTGCCCGTGAGCTATATAATCTTTGATTACTCTCATTTGTATTTTAAATGGCTTTGTGTATTGCTATAAGTGACCTCACATTGTACTGTAAACATTTTAAACTTACATGATATCTTGTTGATTGATCCAGTGCCAGAAGAAGAAGATGATGTAAGTTATGATCCCAGTGTTCTTGATGACCCTGAGCTCCAGTCCGGTCGATACAGAAATCTACTAAGATTTACATCCTACTTAGTAAGTACATCACATCCCTGTTTATTACTATATTTATTTGTCATTAATGGTTGGTTGTATGCATATTGAGACTTAAGGTATGGTGTACAATAATATTTTTTTGGAAAATTTGAAAAGGAAGGAGTACAAATTAAACTTTTGTCAATGACTGCCTGTGTTAAACAGTGTGGCTAAGTTTTATCTTTGTGGTCTGGTCCTACCTGTGTGATCAAGACTAACTGTTTGATCAACTTCTTCCTATGTGATCATGTCCTACCTGTGTGGAATAGTCCTACCGTTGTAAGCAAGACGTACCTGTTTGATCAACACCATCCATTGTGAGGGAAGTCTTACCTGTGTGGACTGGTTTTACCTGTGTGATTAAGTCTTACCTGTGTTATCAAGACTTACCTGTTTGGCCTGGTCCTACCAGTGTGATCAAGTCTTACCCGTTTGGCCTGGTCCTCCTACCTGTGTGATCAAGACTGGCATTTGTGGTCAAGTCAGTCTGCCTGTCTAACCTGTGTAATATCTCGACATATCTGTTAATTTTAATTTGTCACCACCTTCTCTGGTAAGTTATACTGTGTCAGCCAGTCTGGTTATTCATTCAGAGTTATGCATAATTGTCAAACATTTACTTTCAGACTTCTGTTATTGACTATGTAAAACCATCAACATTGAAGAAGGAACTAAATGAAAAATTTAAAGAAAAATTTCCCAGTATCCAGTTGACCCTTACAAAGCTGAGAAGGTGAGTACAAAGATGTTTTTACTCCGAGTGATTTTTTGTATTAAATCAAATTGATTGAAATCTATGGTTTAATTAACTTAAAAAGAAGGAACTTTTACTGTTTTTCTACCATTATTTATTACATATAATTGTCAGCACAAATGCGACTTCATTCCTTAGGGATTTTCATCAAACTCCACACCATCTCAGTAGAATTTGAATTTCAGGGCTCCAGGATCAATGGGAGGGTAATCATTGCTATTTTTTGGAAATCTATGGCAGCACAATAATGACTTCATTTCATTAGGGATTTTGATCAGTCTTATGAAAGACCATTGGATCCTGGACAATTTGGAATTTCAGAGTTCTAGGGTCATGATGAAGGTCACTGATACAATTGTTAGGAATTGTTTTCAGTGCTCTAGCAGTGTCTTCTTTTTCTGAGTTTTCATCGAACTTGGCACTCCTATTAAGATCATTAATATCTTAGACAAATTTGAAGTTCCATGGTTGTAGGGTCAATTTTTGTCAGCTCTCTGGAGGCTTCATTCTTACACACATTTCAATCATGATGGATAAGATTTTATTTCTGATCTCTTTTTCAGTTTGAAAAGGGAGCTACGACAGATCGCCTCTGTAAAGGTAATTGAATAGATTTAGTTTATGTAAAATGAAATCCTGTATTTACATGAATTGAAAACTGTCAAAATAATAACACCACCACCTGGATGTCTTCCAGGTGCTCCAGTTTCCTTCCAGACAAGATAAATGGTCATGATTAATTCAAATAGTTGTAAAATAACTGATAAAATTTATATATAACACAAGTTATTATATTGGTAAACATGGAACCTGTAAAAATCTTACATTTACTTCAACATATTATGTTTGATTGAACTTGTGACTTTGCTTAAGTTCATTGCCAGATGTTTTGGTGTCATGAACTCTTTCTTAAGGTGGTCAGTATGCCCTGCCCCTTACTTTGAGTCAGATATTTTGTGTACAGAAGAATAAGATTATATATTACAAGTGTAACTCAGCATTTTCTGTTTTCAGTGTGGACTGGACATCTGGGTGGTAGCACAAGCATATGTATTCTTCGAAAAACTCATTTTGAAGGTAAAAAACTCTTTGATGGAATTGAAAGTTTATTTTAAATTTTTATATTCAATTATATGGCAATTATTTTCATATGCACAGTGTCACATTTGAAAAAAGAAATTTTTTCATTGAATATGCAGTACTGAAAAAAGGTTAATTTGGTTGAAGCGAGAAGGTGATAATTTAACCTAAAAATGTGTCAGTAGACTAAAATGATAGGTTATTTGGTCATGTGTGACGATATCCTACTACAGAAACTATAGGACAGTGTGTCATACATGGTGAGTTCCTACTACTGATAGTGTAGGACAGTGTGTCATACATGGTGAGTTCCTACTACTGGTAGTGTAGGACAGTGTGTCATACATAGTGAGTTCCTACTACTGATAGTGTAGGACAGTGTGTCATACATGGTGAGTTCCTACTACTGATAGTGTAGGACAGTGTGTCATACATGGTGAGTTCCTACTACTGGTAGTGTAGGACAGTGTGTCATACATAGTGAGTTCCTACTACTGATAGTGTAGGACAGTGTGTCATACATGGTGAGTTCCTACTACTGATAGTGTAGGACAGTGTGTCATACATGGTGAGTTCCTACTACTGATAGTGTAGGACAGTGTGTCATACATGGTGAGTTCCTACTACTGATAGTGTAGGACAGTGTGTCATACGTGTGTCATACATGGTGAGTTCCTACTACTGATAGTGTAGGACAGTGTGTCATACATGGTGAGTTCCTACTACTGATAGTGTAGGACAGTGTGTCATACATGGTGAGTTCCTACTACAGGTAATGTAGGACAGTGTGTCATACATGGTGAGTTCCTACTACTGATAGTGTAGGACAGTGTGTCATACATGGTGAGTTCCTACTACTGATAATGTAGGACAGTGTGTCATACATGGTGAGGTACAACTACTGGTAGTGTAGGACAGTGTGTCATACATGGTGAGTTCCTACTACTGATAGTGTAGGACAGTGTGTCATACATGGTGAGTTCCTACTACTGATAGTGTAGGACAGTGTGTCATACATGGTGAGGTACAACTACTGGTAGTGTAGGACAGTGTGTCATACATGGTGAGTTCCTACTACTGATAGTGTAGGACAGTGTGTCATACTTGGTGAGTTCCTACTACTGATAGTGTAGGACAGTGTGTCATACTTGGTGAGTTCCTACTACTGATAGTGTAGGACAGTGTGTCATACATGGTGAGGTCCTACTACTGGTAGTGTAGGACAGTGTGTCATACATGGTGAGTTCCTACTACAGGTAATGTAGGATAATGTGTCATACATGGTGAGTTCCTACTACAGGTAGTGTAGGACAGTGTGTCATACATGGTGAGTTCCTACTACAGGTAATGTAGGATAATGTGTCATCATTATATAACTGTATTACCTGAACTATCATTGTTAACTAGGATGACTGGAAAATATTTTTTCATGGGCTTACTTTGACCTCATAGTTACAGATAAACAAACAGAACAGAAAGTTGTGTGCAGGAGCCTGTCTGATGCTGTCTGCCAAACTGAATGATGTAAAAGGAGATCAACTTACCAAACTTATAGAGGTAAACAACACACAAAACACAACTTTCCGTTGCTCTAAGAAGATAATATTTTTAAATTGTAATTTTGTAAACAGAAACTTAAACAGCTGGAGCTATTCATCTTAGTATATATTGGTTTACATATATTTTGAACATTAGTTTAATCTGCATGAAGTGGAGGTTATTTCCATTTGAGTTTAAAAGAACTAGTATTTATTTTTATTGTGTATGATTTTAACAGAATATAGAAGATGACCTGCGTGTAAACAGGAAAGAATTGGTGAGCTTTGAGTTTGCCTGTTTAGTATCACTCAAGTTTGCTCTGCATACGTCAGACCAGGAGATTTTCCCTCACTACCAACGACTGCTGTACCAGTCCTGACCAAGGTTTCGACAACCACAGAAAGACACACCTACTCTTATGGACCATACTACCACACTCCTATGACAACACCCTCTGAATGTACCATATACCATAAACCTCAATGATGAGACTCAACCAGGAAATACATATCTAAACTCACACCCACATAGAAGGATTTTACTGGTGAGATGTAAGGAAACTTGTTAGGACATGTTTCAACTGTTTTGATCAAAAGAGATTAGTTTTTAAATGTTTGATTTACAAGTAAGGATTTGATAACAACTGCTGATTGGAATCTGCTGTTTATGTCTCAGAATGAGCAAATCTCTACCTGTACAACTTGTTGTGTAATCTGTTGAATTTTCTGCTGGAGTTTGTGTGGCGGTACAAGCCCAGTGTACTTACACTCTGTGGTTGCCCTCTAACCTGTGATTATAATGGAGAGAAGACACAGTAATAGCATTTTGGAAATTTGACTCTATATTGCAAGTCAATAATTTCTTATATATTTTGCAAGGATATTTTCTCCTGTTTGAATATTGATATCATCGGAAACACATGCTTTCATAAGTTTTCTCTAGTTTTCATATATCATAATTAATTTGTTACTTCTGGATGTTACAATTTAGGATTGAATTGAACCTGTGATTTTTATTACTGATATACATAAATAATCATAATATTTCCCAGAATCAGGACCTTTAGATCAAAAATGATTTACTCGGATATGAATGTGATTTTACACACCACTTTTGTATAGTCCAGGTAACGTTTTAGACCTAATCTGTTTGATCTCTGTTTAGGAAGTTAGTGAAAATTCATTTCATTAGTTTTATATCATACAAAATAATTCAGCTGATGATATTTGCGTCAGATATTGAAATGTGGGGCCTCCATATTGTCTGTTATGAAGTAGGAACTGGCTGCCATAATATTGTTTGTATTTAGGTCAGAACTGGTCGTCTTATTATGGTGTATGATAATATCAAAACTAGCTGTTTCAAATTATTTTATCTTGCAACTTGTGCAGTCATTGTTTGAATTAACCTGCCACATGTATTTGTGTTGTATTCAGCAGTAAATGGAAACTCTTGTGTCTTAGCATGGACATTAATCTGCTAGAATTACTTTCTTTATTGCTTGAATGTTTCATTTAAGATGTGAAAAACTGTTAAAAGTAGCTATGTTGTTTGTTGCATTGAACATGTTTATTTTTGAAAATTGCTATTATATCAATTGAAGTTTTGAACTTATTTGGAGCAAAAAAGAATATCATCAAACCTAATTCAGTGTAATGTCAGGTAAACCTTTTTTTTTTTTTTTTTTTTTTATTTCAAACTCAGTTTTGATAGTCGGAGTTTTCATAGATATAGAAGGATATATACAAGGCATGACAAATGTCATCAAATAAAAGCTTTAATTTGGACTCTGGACAGAAAGACAGAAGTATCTCGCAATATTTAACTTTATTTACCCTTTCAATAAGAAAGCATTTTTGATGACATGGATCATGTATTTTCTATGTCTATTTAGGTCAAAACTGACCTCCATATACTTCCTGTAATTAGGTCAAAACTGGCCTTCATATACTCTCTGTAATGAGGTCAAAACTGGCCTTCATATACTTTTTGTAATGAGGTTAAAACTGGCCTCTGTATTACTTTCTGTAATTGGGTTAAACCATTGAAAACATTGTCTGTTCAACATTTTGGTAATAAATCCATGCTGTTTCACTACTAGTCAAAAACCATACTTTTTGTGTTAGGATATTAAGCAGTATTATGTATTATTGTGCGACTGTCATAAATGTTACAGTATTATAATGTGGTACTTTCTGCTGATACAGTAAGCTTACCACTGTGAATGAGAAGCAGTTCATATTGCACAGGAGAACATGCTGTAGTTGTCAGTTGACCTGTTTTGTGACTCTGTACTGAAATTTTAACATCTATCACTGCTTGTACAAGGTTCAAAGAGCAGGGTAATAATATATATCAGATTAGAAGGTCTTAGTTAATAGACAAAATATGTAGTATGTTTATGAATATAGTGTATCTGTGATTTTTGTTTTCATCCTATTGGCAAGCAGGCGAAAGGGTGAAATTAACCTGTATACAGTACTTTTTCAGCGTCCAACTAAGACAGCTGAGTTTGAGATGATTGAAGATGATTATATAAAATTTTTAGTTAATGCATGAGCAGGTATGCTAGTCAGCATATATAAACCTTTAAAGAAATTGATGACATGGATTGAATTGACTTGAAGTTAAATTGTTACATCTCATGTTGCATTTGAAATTGAAATAGGAGAAAAAAAATGCACATCTGTTTCACAGCAATTTTTTGTATTTGCACTTTTCAAGGTAAATGCTGCCATATTAACGTTGCCATATCAATGTCTTTGTTAACGGTATGTATAAGCATTTCGTGCTTCAATTCATTAGGACAGACCAAATTTAATGAAGTTATGAACAGGGTTGATCCATGTACTGTACACTTGGTAACGGTATCTGTCATTTGTAATCTATAGTGTATTTGAAATTTTTGCCATAGTGATAAACATTTACATTTATTTATTATAGTTTATTACATGATTCATACCCATTGAATTAAAGATATGAAGGTTTTTTTTCTAATATATTTCATTTAGGCATATCAGCATGTGTAAATTTGATTTAAATGATGAGTTTCATGACAGTCCAACTTCCATATGGTCCAGTTCCCACATCGATCATTTCATTTCATGATTTGGATTTATTGCATATTTGAAGGATGCATTTATTTACAATTTATATCAAAACTGAATTTTTTGAAAAAAATATCACAATTTTCTAGTTGTTACCTCAGGCTAAACATTATGGCAACAGTGCTAAGATATTGTTTGCCATTTACAACTGCTTTGAATAGTTTTTTCCTCGACAGTGGTTCGATTGTGCCTACTACAAGGGGTAAGATTTTTCCCACCAATGTTGATGTTATTTTATGTCTGGTACATTTGTACTGTAAGAAAATCAATGACAAGCGTTCAGTTGATTTTGTTTGATTTATAGAACAGATGGGTATAGCTTGTTATGTGGATATAAGGACATTTCTACGTTTGTAAGGACAGATATCAAAAGTACTATAGTTATTCAATCTGTAGAAAACCTATTATGTGTAATATCCTCAGAATCTACTTCATATTTCTAATTCTCTATTGCCAGAATCCTATTTTTCACAAGTCAAGGACAATCTTGTTAACGACTATTTGCAATATTAACCTGATAATCTTAATTGCCATCTAGTTTTATTTTAGACCCAATATGTTAACATATCAGTAAAACCCATGTTTTGTTAATAAACAGATTCACAAACTGCAGTACCTAATTAATGCAAGATACTTGCACCAAAGAATATTTGAACAGTAAGGGTGTTTCGTATTTTGAAAAAAAGGCTTTGACGTGATATGCTGAGATTTGTATAATTTGGTCTGCTATGGTGGTAAGTTAGAGTATATCTAAGTCTTTTTCTTGGAATACTTTATCAAAGAGCTTTCTATGTTATGATACTATCCTAAAGGTTACAGTTGTGTATAGATATGCTGTATATCGGTGATTTGTACAATGGTTATCGCTTTTGGACAACCTTTACTGGTAGTGTTATCTAATCATTCAGAATTAAATGAGAATTTTATGTGTATGTTTTTTTTTTATATCTTTATATTATGGATAAAAAAAGAAGTATTCTGTTGCAGGACAAGTATGGAAATTGCACAAAAATTAAGGTAGCTTGTCTGGGATGGTTTGCATTGTTCAGAATGACACAAGAAGGTAGCACACATTCTTGAATTGTTCCGAGTGTCACAGGAAGGTAGTAAACATAATTAAGATCCAAGAATGTTGAAAAAGGTAGCATACATCTTTAAGTGTCCAGAATGTCACAAGAAGGTAGCATACATCTTTAAGTGTCAAGCAAATTACAGTAAGGTAGCATGCATCCTTAAGTGTAAGATGGAATCAACATTCTGTTGCTGTAATAATATTGGATACTGGAGATGATTTGATAAACTGAACTATCTAATTTTCAAAATGAAAATCACGGCTTTTTCAAAACATTAATGATGACATCTTGAAATACACATATTCCACTATTGGACCAAAGCTAAGTCACTAACCATTACAGGTTCAAATTTTTCCCGATATTCCCTCATTTAAAATTTTTAATTTGAAAGTATGGAAGGCTATATAAGGAAAATATCCTTATAATTTTTAACTTGATTCCAATAATTCTTTTCTGGAAAAAAGTTTTAAAGAACATTTGTTGAACTGGTGCCAGAAAATACTACACCAGGAGAGGATTTGTTGGGAATTTGTATATATCACAAAATAATGTAGAAGTAGAATAGTTTAAGTTATTTGACATGCTCTGTGATCTCAAAAGTGTGGCTCAGTTGGCCCAGACTGTACATAGATGGTTTTATTACATAGACTTACTTTTACATGGAGTTTTCTCCGCCTTGGCAGTCATACATGTGACATGTTGTATAACTCTGTATTGTGGTCAGTCCTTGTTATCAATAGTATTATTAACCGCTAGTGTATAAACTCTGCAGAAACAATTATTTACTCAGTCTTGTTTTGATCCTGTTTTATGTTTTAAGACGTACAAATATACACAGAAAAAACATCTTTTGTTGTTCCCTCCTGTATAATAAATCACTTTATTTTCATGAGAGGTTAAATTTGGAACAATACATTCACAAATATTTATATCTGTGAAAAAAATCTTGGATAGATACTTTGTTGTTTTAACATTCCCTCCATCCAATATATTTGTACCCAGGCAGTTTGCTGAAGAAACATGCCTGAAAATGAAGTGATTTGTCATATGCAACGTTAACATTTTTGTTTTATTACTCAGTGTATGCATTAATGAGAAATCTGGATTCTTCGGGTTCTGTCTATACAGTTTGTAAACTAAGATTTCTATTAGAGTAATGACGAATTGTGTGGACAGAATTTGCAGTAATTTGTTTCTGTAATTGTCCTAGTCGGACTGAAGTGCTCAAAACTGTAGTCTGTTGATATTACAGTATCTGGAAGAGGCATGGAACCATAGTTTTTTTATATAGAAATATTTGCATACTTTCAGTGGTAAATGTTTGAGAATGTCAAGATTTTGCAAAAGTAAGTATTCATATGATCAGAAGAAAAGATAATTATGTAAAAACTCATTTCACAAAACTGAAAGTTGCATGTCATGTTTTTAGCAGTTTACATGAATGATAAACTTGTTCTAGTAAATTTGCTTTTGTCACTTAAATCACTGTGGCCAGTGTCTGCCATTGTTTTGTTTATTATTGAAGCCTGTTGTAGTACCAGTTTTATTGGTAAATGAAAACAAGGCTGAATTGTTTATACATGTTGTCAGTGCTTGGTGCTGTGAATTTTTGTGATAACATCATTATTGAATAAATAAATAGAAGAATGATATCCAGTTGTTACATTAAACTATTTTTATATCTACAATTATTTAAACCTCACATTATCATGTTGTGAGTAGATAATGACAGCTCCAGTCTCTGTTCTAGTGGCTCTAGACATTGGGTCACAATACTCCTGTCACCATTGATCTGTTGTACTGGCTGTAGACAAGTGATGTAACAAACCTTTTATCTGTAGACCTCTATGTAGTACCAACTGTAGACAAAAATGTCACAACCAACTGAAGTCTGAAGACCTTACTATTATAATAGTTGTAGACAAGTCTCCTGATACCCCAGTCTATGTAAATCTGACTTGTACCAGCTGTAGACAAGTGTCATGATAACCTGTCTCTGTTGTCCTCACTGTTGTATTGATTGTAAACAAGTATCAAGACAACCTTAGTCTCTGTAAACTTAACTGATGGACTAGCTGTAGAAATATGTGGAGGACAACCTGTCTTTGCAGTCTGTTGTACTAGCTGTATTAGACACATTTCATGACATCCGAGTCTCTGTAGACCTCATTGTTGTACTGACTGTAAACAAGTGTCATGTCGAATCCAGGCTCTGCACTTCTCTCTGTTGTACTGACTTTAGACAAATGTCAAGACAACCCCAGTCTCTGGAGACCTCTCTGTTGTACTTGCTGTAGACAAATGTCAGGTCAACCCCAGTCTCTGGAGACCTCTCTGTTGTACTTGCTGTAGACAAATGTCAGGTCAACCCCAGTCTCTGGAGACCTCTCTGTTGTACTTGCTGTAGACAAATGTCAGGTCAACCCCAGTCTCTGTAGACCTCTCTGTTGTACTTGCTGTAGACACGACATAACCTCTGGAGACCTCTCTTTTCCTGTCAACCCCAGTCTCTGTAGACCTCTCTGTTGTACTTGCTGTAGACACGACATAACCTCTGGCTCTTTTCCTGGTTGTAGACACACGTTGTGACAACTCCAGTCTGCAACTATCACTGTTGTCCTGGCTGTAGATATGATTCATGACAACCCCAGTCTCTCTCTGTATTCCTTATTGTTGTATTGGTCAGATGGAACCTTCCCAGTACAATCTGAAAATCTCACATAGACATTCCCATCCTTGACCTTTACTGCATGTGTCCTTTGCTTAACACCACTGCTTTTCCAAACTGCAGGCTTTCTTAAGTTATGAGGATCACAGGACTGAAAGACATATAAACAATCAAATCAAACATGGAAGATAATTAAGATTAATACTGGTGAATATGACAAAGGACAAATTTCCAAAAATCAGTTTTATACACCAAATATGTCTGGATCCCCATACTTAACCAAGTTTCAAAGGCATGATCAGAAGAGGGGGTGAGTTTGGATGAAGGGATCTTGACCAAATTTTATCTAAAGCATTCTCCATAGGTGGTGGGGACAGAACTCTGTATGAGTTGGGGGTAAGGTTGTAAATAAAAATCTCATAAAGCTGTACATGCCTCAATAAGTGGTGGGGACTGCATTTTGTATAAATGGGAGGTACAATTGTGATAACAGGCCCATGGGGCCTGCATTGCTCACCTTGCTATTCAGTTATTCAGTCATTTAATAAAAAATTCAAATATGACAAACTTCTGAAATAACTTCCCGATTGGGTGCCAACAGAAGTCAGATTTTAGTATTCATAAAAACCGACTGCTGCAGACCAAACTTGGACATTATCCTTGTACCAAAGAAAGATTTTAAAGAACTTACATTTCCAATATTGGGTCCCACATCTCTGATGTCGGACTCCTTTTTGATACAAACTTCGGGTTCTTTACAACTAAGTGTGCTTCAAACTGAATGAGGACAGAATCAAGGCATTCCCATAAAAGAATGATTTTGGAGAATTTTCCTTATTACCACAAATTGACCCCATTTCAAAGGGCAAAGAACCACAATTTGATTCTGCTTCACCCATGTATGCTTCAGACCAATTGGGACAGAATCCTGATACCTGGTATATATTTACAGAAGAAGAAAAACTATAAAGAACTTTCTCCATGTTGTCTGCCCTTCTTGCCCTGAGGGCAGAAACCACAGTTTATACAGCTGATTTTCATTCAGCAGAGCATGTTTCAGAATAAATTGGGACAATATTGAAGCATATCTACAGAAGAATTTTTTTTGATTTTTTTAATTTGCTCATTATCCAAGAAAACTTCAGACCCAATTTTGCAAAATTCGTCCATTTTTACAGAACTTGCTTAATTTCCGCTTTTGGGGCTTGCCCCTCTGACCCCAGTGAGCTGAAAATCAATATTTCTACAAATGTTCTCCTTCCCCCAAGACTGCCTAAGACAAATCAGTCAAGATTTATTCAGTTGTTCATGACTAGTAGCAATTTTCAGTTTAAAGTTAACCAACACTGGACAGATGACATGGCGTAAGCTCACCAGTCCTTTGGACCACTTGAGCTAAAATCTCATAAAACTACACATTCCTACTATGGTGTTGGGAACTGCATTTTGTAGAAATGGGGAGTATTGTTGTAAATAAAATTCTTCTAAAACTTCACATGTCTCTTAAGGTGTTGGGGACTGCATTTTGTATAAATGGAGAGTATTATTGTAAATAAAATTCTTATAAAGCTAAACATGCCTCTTAAGGTGTTGGGAACTGAAAAATTTCTTAATGCTTCACAGACCTGGTACACCATTTCTCCTCGGTCAATGGCTACTTTATATTTATGCCAAGGACAAACAATACAAGTCTTCCCTCCAAAGTCCTAAAAAATAGAATTGCGATTTATATATATTTATGAAAAATACATATGGACAAAGAAATCAAACTGTTCTTAAATTTGTAAAGTCTTAATTGATAAAAAACTGATTGGCTTAGAATTGATTTTCAATCTGTTTTCTCCAAAGCTTGATGGGAAATGGATATTTCCTATAAGTAATGTCATATGATTTTACATCAAAATGTTGTTTACATACCTCTATGTCTCCACTATACAAAGGTCCTCCAGCATCTAACAACAGAAAAGTAACAGCTTTGAAACAATCTGAGTAAATAACAAAAATAGTACATGTAATATATCTTTTCTTTTTCAAATAACAGAACATATCATAAGCATTATACTATAAAAAATAACACGTCAAATGTTAAATTTCAAAATTTTTAACTTTTTGTTTTGTTTTGTGTTTTTTTCGCTTTGTTTTCTACACTATAAGCAGTCTATTGGGTGAATGAAAGAATGCAGGGAGACAATAAGATATTTACGGTAACAAAAACTATCTAAGGCATATACGTTTGCCTTAGCTTTTATGATAACAATATCTCTGTCATCTATCTTCACCCTCTTTCGGTTTGTTCCGGTTAGATCCGACAATTGGCATACTAATGTCCAGTCTTCCTACAACACAAAAACAGAATTACATCAGATGACATTTACAGCCAAGAACATAAAGACAAGTGTCTAGGGAGACACCAACTAAAAAAGCAAAGCATGGGAAAGAAAGGAATTGACCAGAGAGAGAAATATATACAAAGTACTGCAATGCAGTCATCAGCTCATTTTTAATCTCTTGAGTGCCCTGACTGGAGATTGATGTAGTAGGAATAGAAGGGAATTCTACATTCTGTTATCCATTTTGTTTTCATTGTGTCATGACTGATATATACTAGCAATTGCTCTGTTAAATGGTATCAACTCGAAGTGGGAAGTTTTGAACTGGAAATTCATGTATTAAAACAGAAACTTCGATCCATCTGTTATTCAGTAAATTTTACCCCAGTCATATGTTTTAATATATCTACATAGTCTTATATAATATTGAGTGCTTTTCATCGGCTGTGCCATTCAGAAATCGATTGTGAAATCAAAAAATAGATTGTTGCTACCTCTGTTTTCCGATTTTGTACTCTACATTTTTAAATCAAATGATATAAAACTCATATGATAACCTGTACACTTAGTATATATACAGCCAGTGATTGCAGGTACAAAGAAAATGATTTGGAATCAAATGTTTTTTAATATATCTATATCTGTGTATGGTCTATTGAGATTGTCATTTTTTCAACGAATTAACTAGGTTGTGTGGTATTATGTCTATTTCTTTTAACTTGTAAGGAACCTTAAGTCACTCATTTCAATATTATTATAAATGTGGCTTATAACTCTAACGTTATATAAGTCTATATAGATATATTTACAGATTGATTCATAGTTCAACATCAGAGTTCCTGTGTCTATATTTGTATAACAAGGTGCTATTTATCTGGTTAACTGGTGAAGTAGAACTTTAATTATATGAAGAAAAAAATAATGTCAACCCAATAGGCATACTTACTAGTGACTCGGCCATCACCTCTGCACTTTTAAAAACGCCGTGGTAAATATACTACTTTAAATAAGATGAAATAATTATTGGACCTGTGACCATCCATGGCCTAGTTGTCAACAGCATACCATTTCTTCCTCTACAACAAAGAGTTCTACTTTAAAGTACGTTCAACAGGTTCGACGCTCAGTTGGGACAAATATCTCTTTTCTCTGTGTGTGTGTGTGTGTGTGTGTTTGTTTTTTTTTTCATGTTTTTTGTTGTTGTTGCTTTATTATGTTTTTTCTTAATATATGTATGTTTGTTTTACATCATTGTGTGAACATACCAAACATTTACCTGACGGCAATTTCTAACATAGTTTTTTTATTCCGTTTTTAATTTTTCTTTTTTATTCATTTATTTGCCCATCTTCATCAGATGGTGACTGTTATGTTAGTAGAATGTTAAAATCGCGCTTTGCCCGTTATCCATCCTTTAAAAAATCTCGCTATGCGAGTGTTGTTGTTATTTCTAGAGAAGTATTTGATGGACTCTCTCAAATTTTAGGTGCCAGTTCACGTTACCGTTCCCTAGTTGTGCATAATGTATTTTTTGGACTGAAAAAAACAGACAGTCGGACATCTTGGTTTTGACAGGTGAGGGTTTGTTTTGTGATTATTTTTACACAAGAAGTGGATGTACGTCTCCACTAAGTCCCTAGATTTGTACAGTGTGAATTCTGGGACTGGAAAAAACCACCCATATGCATGTAGATAATGCCACTGACTCCATTTAACCCAACTCTGACGAGTAACAATTTAGTAATAAAACTTAGACATGCTTACAATGGAACAATACGATTCTTTGAACACGACACCAAAATTTTTAGAGAAATTATAGGTAGCAGTGATAAAGCTACTCTTCAGAAGGATCTGAACGGATTATACCAATGGATATGTAGATAAGTGCAAGGTCCTATCCATTCATAACAAAGAAAACAGGTAGAAGAAGCAGAGTACAGTATGCGCAAAGAGGGAGGAGGAAGTAAGATTTTAGAGAACGTGGACAGTGAAAAGGACATTGGAGTTACCATTGACAAACATCTCACATTCGAAAAACATATACAGAACCCTAATGAGACGTACATTCATTTACCTTGATAACAACTCTGACGACCCTATATGGAATATAACAATTTAGTAATAAAACTTAGACATGCGTTGAAATTTAGAAGAATGAGAGGGGATATACAATGGAACAGGAAAATACTGAATTTTCTTTGAACACATTGTGTTAAGGACAGTTCAGGCGTGTCTACAGCTTTTCCATCGGGTAGTGGACACTTGGAACAGCCTCCCTGACACAGTTGTTACAGCTACCACAACAAACCAATTCAAAAACAGGCTCGACAAATATTGGGAAAGACATCCATTGAGGTTTAATTATACAGTAAGATATGGACCAGATAAAGACACCGGAAGGACATTAAACCGACATAATGACAATTTTGAGCTGCCTATAGAGGACCAACAGGTCCTGCGGGCAGAGACAACATAAGGTAACATAAGGTAACGAACAGTTCAGATGTGTCTTCCTTTCCAGTCATCCTGAAACGGCAATTACCAGCTAAGGCAAGTTGCCCACCAAGTATGTCAAAACAAAGATGCAGAGGAGTCTATCGTGTCTTTGATTTCAAGTTCATGAGTGGACGTTGTATGTCTAATGAACATGGTCGATACGAACTCCTTGTGATTGACAGACAACACATCACGAAGGACCTGAAAAGGGCCTTGTTTATATCAATAGTCCGTTGGAATTTCCGACCACCTAAACTGTTGATATTGTCAACCAGAAATTCAATCGTGCTCACAACTTGGCCATCAGCGTATTAATTTTTAATTTGAATTTCGTCGTGTTCCTTTTTATTGCGAAAGAGTGCACTTTTTTGTGGCGAGAATTAGCTACGAAAGTTACTTATCATTTCTCAACGTTTCAATAAATACTTCAGGTAATCGTTTGAAACGTAAATCTAGCGTTCCAGAAGAAACGTTCAGGGATAGCTGTCATGACAATTTGTAATGTACCTTTACGTCTCCACTAAAATGTTTACAAATAAATGAAGTTGTCTGCCCGACTTCGTGGGTTTTCCACGGGTATTCCACTTTCTTTCCAAAATCCTGGTGGTTCCATCCGGTCCGGGCCAACAAGAGTGAATAACGTAAGTTGTTTTGCATTTGTTGTAAAATAGATGAAGTTTTTATCTGAAATAACATCAAGAACTTAACGTGTTTTGAACCGTTGTAGGTGCCATTTAGACGTGGAATACAATATTATGGTAAATTTCGGGGGCCACCATATAAAAATAGACACACAGAAGTGAATAATACTATCCCTATATAATATTTATACATTATACATATGTTTCATCCTACTAGATCTCGTCAAGAATTCCATGAGACGAAAATATAGAAGGGTTTGGAAAGACGAAACAAAGGAGTCTGTGATTATTTCTTTTTAGTTCTGGTTGGTAAATAAAAAATTTAAAGTGATATGAATGAATAGGGAGAAAGGATGTATTGGTTAGGGATTTACTGTTAGTCTGTAGCAAAGTATCGCTTATCTGATTTTTAAATTCAATGAAATATGATATCGACTGAAGAACAGCGCTACATGGTTTTGTTTGCGAGTAGAGCACAATCAAGTACATCTCTATCGGAGAAAAGATATTTTTCAAGTATGTACCAATGAACTAGTGTAAAATTGGAGTTTAGTATGATGGATTTAGGTATACGTTTGGGGATGTTTGGATACAAATTATTACAAACAATAAAGAAGAATAAAGCATTTCTATGTGATCTTTAGATTTCAAAATCCTCATTGATTATTACGTCTAGGCGAGGATGCAGCGTGACAATAGGCCAGAGAGCCGCCTTTCACTGCGACTGTCGCGATATAGGGAATGTAGCTGAATACTTAACAAGTAGTACAAACCTCGCGGTGTATTTCATAAACTTACGTCATTTTTATATGTAAATAACTTCATTCAAGACAGAAACGTCTGTGATTGCTATTTTCATATATAATATCAATGTAAAATAATTTTCTTCCTCGAGATAGGTTTCAAATGGCAAATGTCACAACGACACAGGGGTGATAAATGTATTGATGGAGTTTTATGTCACTGACTGTATACAGTGTTTATCGCTTAAATGTTAAAGCAGATGTTTCAATTTCAATAAACTTTTTAAAGATTACCATAAACCGAGGTAGCAGCTGAGTAGGAGAATTGATATTTACAACATTAGACATATGTAAACAGCAGTATCGCTCCGTGTAGTTCACGTGTAGGGTCTGAGGACTACACAATGAGAAAACTATTCATCTGGAGGCTAGAGAATTCAGGTAGGAGAGGTCAAGTCTTCACACAGCATTGGGTTTCTTTCTTTCTTTCTAATAACACTCTCTTGCCATTGATTGATGTCAAAGTGTAAAGATACATCTCATTTGTGCTTTCATTATTATTTTTTTTTTGGGGGGGGGGGGTGGCAGTAGGATGTGGATTGCAAAGGATATTTTACGAAACGTCAGTTTGAAGTTTACTTTCTTTCGGTTCAAAATCTGTGTCTCTATTTGCCCATAAAAATGCTGTTACGTTCTGGTAGGAATGTTCTTCCATTCCATAAAGAAATAAAGAAAATTGTGATATAACATTTTGGCTGAGGTCCTTTATCTCAATTCGGGGAAAGTAACTTTTCTTTGTATCTTAGTAGCACTATGAAGGCTAATTGATGATTTCCATATTGCACGAAGCATGTTTTGTTTGAAAAGTACTTTATTTCAACAGGTAACGCTGTTGTGACATCCATCATTGTCATTGGAATTTTTACGACAGTGAATTATCTGTTCCCTGTGGCGTACAGGTCCAAGTATAGGGGATTGGTTATGTCGGCTGTCTATCCTTCTTGTGACCAGACCTGGACCGACAACCTTCTTCTCTGTCCAGAAATGATCGGTCGACTTGGAAACACCATGTTCGAATATGCAAGTGCCTATGGCATAGCCAAGGACGTGAACAGAACACTGGTTTTACCAGAGGATGATAAACTGTGGCAAATGTTTCATATCACGGCAAAAGCTGTTTATAATCGGACATTCACGTGCGAGAGGTGGAAGCATGAACGGATCGAATTCGCAGGGATTTGGGAGAAACTTATCTACGATAAAGTAAGGAAATCTCCCGAAAATGTAATGCTGAGGCACTACTTTCAGTCATGGAAATTTTTCGAAAAATATAAAAAGGAAATTAAAAACGAATTTTCTCTGAAAAGATCAATACAGTATGCCGCGAACGAGATTCTTCGTGACATAGCCACGAAATTCTATCCTGGTGGAACTCGCGTAACATTTATCGGAGTTCATATAAGACGTGGGGATTATCTGACACGAAGGTTTGCATCGTTTGGGTACAATATTGCCCCAACGAATTACGTAATTCGCGCAATACAATATTGTTTATCTAAGTATACGAATGCCATGTTTGTAGTCTGTTCTGAAGATGTCGAGGAAACAAGGCATGAACTAAAACCTCTTAACGACGCACAAATCGAGATCGTGTTTCATGAAAGATCACCGGAAGTTGATTTTGGATTGTTAGTGGCATGTAACCACACAATAATGACAGTCGGGAGTTTTGGTTGGTGGGCTGGATATCTTGCCGGAGGTGACGTCATCTACTTTAAATATCCTGTAAAGGATCATACGAAAGCACGACATCAGTTCGATACCAATTTTTCTGATTATTTTCATCCAGATTGGATAGGCATGGAGTGAATAAAACTATACCACGTCATTTCACTATGTAATGTTCAGTCAACGATAAACAGAATAAATACGGTGATATATAGCATTTGCTGTACCTTAAGAAGTCATTTAGGAATCTTTCCTAAATCTTCTACATTAAGCAATACAAATAAGTTGTAAAATAGGTCGATATACATGATAAGATATAAAAAAAATTATCACAAGTTGGATAGACCTTAAGTTATATGGGTGAAGTCGATGGAGAGGAAAATGGTTATCCCTCTGAATCACCTGGTTTTATCCTACTGGTAAGGCCATACCAGAGAAGATTATTATTGACATAGCCAGACTACAAAATCTCGAAACTTTTGCTGAAACCGATTTTTTTTTCGAAAAAAAATGTTATTGGAAAACTACAACATATTCTGTAGTGAAATGTGAGGAAAGACAACTCTGCATATTCTGTTTCTACAGCTTATAAACCTGGATCTCTAAAGTAATGACAAATTGTGAGGACAAAGTTTGCAGTAATTGTCTATTGTCTTAGTTGAACTGAAGTGCTTGAATCTGGAGGAATCGAGGAACCAGACTTTTTGTGTGTTTTTTCCCCTGTAAATTGCATCTGGTATAATTCTGGGTTTTTTGTGTGTTTTAGGAAGACTGGGGATTGGAATGTCCATTGTCAGATCTAACCGAAGTTACCATATATACAAGGGCTGATTGATAAGTTGTGAGCCTTATATTTAAGAGTTTGACTTCTGGCTGACATGTTGCATTTTTCAACATAGTCCCCTTCAGTATCTATACACTTTTTGCCAGCGATTTTTAAGGGCCTCAATGTGACTTAAAGAATTTCGTTTCTTGACCGTTCAGAAAGTCCTCCACTGATTGTATGATGTCATCATTTGACTGAAAGTAGGTACCGGGAATGGCCTTTTCACTTTTGGAAATAGTGTGAAATAGTCGAAAGCCTGATGGAGCGAAATTAGGCGAACGACGGTGACGCTCAGGCAATTCAAAGCCACACTCGTTAATGACAGCCTCAGCATTGTCAGACTTGTGGATAGGGACATTGTCTTGGTGGAACAGCACACTTTTACCGAGTTTCTCGGGGCGTCTAAGTTTAATATTTTCACTTAACTACCGTAGAAGTGATACATAATATGTGTCATTGATCGCCTGCCCCTTTTGCAGATAATATGCCATCAGAATACCATTAGCATCCCAGAAAACCGAGATGACAACCTTTCAGTTTATGGAATGGTCTTTGCCGGGGATGAACCAGTGTGTTCCCATTGGCTAGACTGTTGTCTAGCCTCAGGTGTGAAATAATGGACCCGCGTTTCATCCATAGTCACAAACCTCTCAATGATCTGCCACTAAAAGGTTCAACAAGTCCGCCTGGTGTGATTCTGATCAAATGTCAGAAGTCTTGGTAATCAACGGGATGAGAGCTTTCTCATTGCAAGATCTTCCATAAGAATGGAATGTACTCTTTCCTGTGAAATCATAACTGTACTGGCTATATATCTCTCTTTGTAACTTGCCTGTCAGCCATAACAATATCATGGACTCTATTGATAATTTCTGGTGTTGCAACAGTGACGGGTCTTCCTGGACGGGCGTCATCCCCAAGGCTCTGCCTGCAACGCTTAAATCCATCACACAATTTTTTCATTGTAGCATATGAAGAGGGCATCATTCCCTAATGTTACTACCATATCAGTATGAATATTTTAGGTGCTAGACCTTTCTTATGCAAGTATTGAATCGCTGGTGTAACGTTTGCAAAAGTCACTTGCCTCGTTTACTTTAGAGTTCTACCTCATAGCTTTCCAAATGACACCCACTATTTCATGCCTAACTTATTCAATCTTAATACAAGGCTCACAATTTTTATTTCGAAAATTATTGGACACATTTAAACAAAAAACGACCGCTAAGTATTATGTACATTTTGTGTAATGAACCAGGAAAGAGGCATTGTGTATCATTCATTCTTTGTTCTAAGAATCAATTAGTCAATCAGGAAAAATTGGCATTATAATATATATAAATATATTTTGTTGTGAAAGGATTTGTCCATGTGTAATCTACTCTCTCTGTTTTGATATTTGACTGATGTGATATATTTTGACTTCTTGTTACACACTGTTATACACATTTGACCGGAAGTGCGTACCGAAAATGGCCCTTTTCAGTTTTAGAAATAGCCTGCATTAGTTAATAATCTGTTGTGCGAGATCAGACGAATAACGGTGACGCTCAGCCAATTCAAAGCCACAATCGTTAATGGCAGCCACAGCATTGTCAGACTTGTGAATAGGGGCATTGTCCTTGTGGAACAGCACACCTTTACTGTTAAGTGTGTCAGAGAAAAAAAAATTAAAATCTTAAAATTCGGGACTCTCATTATGGTAAACTAACGGCTATTTATATAACATGTTTTATAACACGTAATACGGGGTCCATATCAGAGGCGGAGGCCTAGTGAGTACCAAGAATGCGCGATTCGGGTAAACCATGGCTACTGGAAGTTACGTGCAATGTTCAACAGCGTTCTTCCTTTCAATGTTCACTAACCCTGTCTTGATGCCCATGTAGAGTATGTGTACAATTCAGGTCGGCCAGAAGTAGACTGCCGTTCTGGCGTCAGGCAACCACACCATAATGACGGTGAGGTCTTTTGGGTGGTAGGACGGATACCTCGAAAGGGATGACGTCATCTACTACAAATACCCTGGGGAGGATAATTCCACATTGCAGTTTGATTCGAACTTTTCAGACTATTCCTCACCATTTTGGATAGTATTGAGTTGAAAAGTTTAACTTTGAAAACTTAATTTAATCGATTGTCATCAGCAAACACACATAATAATTCCTACTGTTATCACATGTGTGATTGGTAAGAGACGATTTATGGAGACATCCACTGCAAAGGCATAAAAAGCAACTATAATAGACTTTTTTCTACGTTCCATAATGTAAAGGATATCCATTAGTTTCGATGACTTTCTTACTTTTGTTTCCTTTCGACTTTGTCGTTTGTGTAATTGAAATAAGGAGTGTTGCGGATTTCTTACCGGTACGATTCTAGTGTCATTTATATAGATTTTCTCTTGTCTTTCTTTGACGTCAATCTTTAAATAGATAAGGGCTTGTTCCAATATTGTCTATATAATGTGTCCAGTTAGAGTACTATGCTTCCGTATCCACACGATGTTGTTTAAACCATAAAATCTCAAATAGCAACCATTTCAAATAAACACAGGTAATTATAATAAAGGTGGTATATCGGTAGTGTTTTATATATGGCTATCTAGACATACAGCAAACTATTCTGCATCAAATAAAACTAATATCACGTGTGCACAATAAATAAAAGTGTCACCCCTCCCTTCCACAAAAAAGCTATAGTCTCGTGTATTTTCATAATGAGAAAGACAATCACGCACAACCAAGTTCTAAAACATCTAATTGATTTACATGTCTTTAAAATTAGATAAATGACATTTGAAAAATATGTGTGAACCGAATGAATAATGCGGACATGACATTTATTTAATGTCTGATATATCGAGAAGATCAAGTATAAAAACGACATCGCGAAAATTGCTCCCTCTAGGGTTCGCCTAAAGTTCAAAATTGTAAAAGCATGGCCATTTCATGCGTGTTTCATGTCAGCGATACTGTCAGGCTGCGTTCCAAAACCCTAATCTTAAAACGTTAAGTGCAGTTGTACTTACAGCGATAAAGGACGTGAATATATTATGTAAATACTAATCCACTTAATTCACTTGTGTGTAAGATAATTATAAGCTTCTTTTCCTAATGCACTTGAGTTAATATAACATTCGTGTATTATGCAGCACATTGAACCAGAAAGGCTTTCTTCTTCCTGACAAGGGTTTTTAAAGATTATCATTATATGAAATGTTTTCTGTATTGCTACAGAAAACGTTGATGCAAAATTTAGTTTATCAGTTGCATACGGATATCGATATTTTATCAGACAGCGTGGAAATACTTATCATAACACAAACACTGTAATGTAAAATATAGTGAATGTAAATACGACGTGGAGATACAAAGAGAATACATGGTCATTGTTTTACAATATAAGATGTATTTTGGCGAGGGTGAAGAAAGACAAAAGAGGCAAGCCTGTGGCCCGAGCCAAAATACAGCTGATATTTTGAGACTCTGGCCATGTGTCCTTTTTATCCTGCTACAAGGATTGAAAACCAGACTGCTGAAACTTAAACAATTTTGTTGTTTAGTATTTGTTTACATGACGTTGACGTTACGCTGAATTTTGTCCGATGACGAGCGTCAAAGTAATTGCTCCGCATGGAAACATAGTTCCAAACTTCATCAGATATAACAGCGATTTTATGAATATTCCTAAATCAACATGTTCATAACAACATGTAAAATCGCTTAATTTAACAACTATTTATATTTCTAAACGTAATATTTAGGTTGAGAGAGAAAATCTTTCGAATTACTGCACGTGCTAAAATTCAGCTGTTTTCCGTCACTGCCGAATTCTGACAATGGCAGTCTAAGTTGTAGAATGAATGTAATTAGAAGTTACATGTGTCACTATGGTATAAACCAATTGCATGTTTTCCTTATGACACGTGTGAAGTGACAAGTTGGGCTGTAACGGGGTGAATATTTCAAGTAATTATATGCTTTGTGTCCTCACGATTTCACGTTAAAGATGTATTGTTTGATCAATGATAAGATCAGAATGTCTGTCATCAAATTAGCATCTTTTTAACTTCATCGCTCAAAGATTAATTCCTTCTGCTTGACAAAATCAAACTTTATGTTACTGCCACAGTAATTGTTTTAACTCTCATAAAATGTCACATACAATGTACTTTATCACTATGACAAAATAAATGTAGCACCATTTGAAACTGCTCCCTCTTCCAATCTTTAATTTTCTTTAATTGACTTCTTTCAGAATCATTTCTAGATTTTTTCCCTTTATATCATGATTATGAAATTGTTTTACTTAT